CGGAAAAAACCTCTTCTCGACGGATTTAAAATGATTTTAAATCGCTTGAAGATGGTGCCGGAAAGTATGCCTCTAAAAGAGGACTTTTCTAGGGATTTTACAAAAAACGTTGTAATATTTTAATAATACATTTCAACAAGTCTTCTATTTCTATATTATTAAATATATAACTTTATAGTTTTAAGTGCTCTTTATAGATATTTATATTGGTTTTTGTGGCAGAAGAGTAAACAAAAATGAATATATAACTTATAAGGAATATTTTTTAATTTAATTCTAATAATTATTTAATTTAATAAATAATAAATTAATTTATAAAATATATACGTTATTATTTAATATTTATTTATTTATTAAATTAACTCCCTTATTCGATTTCGTATGGCCTCACCTATTGACTGGAATTAAATAAATATTTCTCATATCTTATCTATTTACCAAACATATCACTTTAAGCACGGCTATCAGGCTGTTATTAAGTGGTATTAACTCAAAATGTAATAAAGTGATAAATAAATAAATTAAAGTTCCTAGTTTTGGCTACCTTAACTAGGTAAATTCATTAATATTCCATACTCTATCAAATATAAGCTCAAAAGGTTTAATAAATCTGTTATAAAAATTATAAACACTATATATTAATTAAAATATTTCAAAAATAATAATAATATATTAAATAAAATATACAATATGCAAATCACTTAATGTTCTCTTTTAACTTTTCGCCTCAGTGTGCTGCACTTTTGTTGCCATTGACGTTGTTAACGATTTTCAAATAGCGCCCGGTAGTTGACACACCTTCTCCCCTGACCACCCCTTCATCTTCATTTCGCTACCCTCCACCCACCACCCACATTTAGTGTCGTCATTAGCAACGTTGCCGGTAAAAAAAAATTGTTATTTCTGTTGTTTGTTTGACTTTCGCCTCGTTCGGTTTTCGTTTTTGGTTTTTGTTTGCCCCAACGCCCTATCAGTGGAACTTCTGCACATTTTGATAAGAACACCCCCTACCTCCCTCCCGCTTCACCCCTTACAGGTTGTTTTTTTTTTCTATATTTTCTAGCTACACGTTAATTTATCGCAATCGGTTTTGGAAATCGGTCAGTTAATGCCCGGGGGCTGACCACATGGCTCATTACCAAATTGGAGCAAGTGCTGCCAAAAGGGAGGAGGGGGTGGGGGGCGGAGTGATTTGGCAATAGTAGTGGCCCAATAGGGGGCGGGGCATTGGGCTGATAAGCGTTACCTATGGGAAAAATGCATTTTTATGGAGGAATTTTACGTTTTAATGCTTGAAATTCAGCTTGTCTCTTTCAAAAATCCAATTTGATTTATTTTTAGAGCTTCGCATTGAATAAATTAAATATTTTAATGATTTTTAAAAGATCCAGAATATAAAATAATGCATCAATTAGTTTAAACAATAATTTAAGATAACTAATAACCTTAATTTAAATTAAATTCAAAGTTTCTTTTAAAAATCCTTATGAAACATCTAAAATCTTAACCTTATTAAAATAATTCCACATTCTTTATACGATTTAAAATAAATCACATTTCCTTCATTTCAAATATACATTCTTTTTATTATATGTACCGTGCACATGTGTTCAATAAAAAATATATTTCTATTTGAAAAAAGGTGTATATATATTCTCTTAAAATATTGAAAATATGTATAGGCTATAAAGTGTCAACAAATTTGAAAGCTATAAATATTAATATGGGGACCAATATATTTCGAAATATAGGAATTTATATCGAACGGTTTGTATTTTCTATTCTCCCTCTCCTTTAAAATAACTATATTAAAATATTTGAAAATATTCTTTATTCTCTGTTAATTCCCTTGAAATTATCAGACTGCACTTCCTGATTTCCCGATCGCCTGAATTTATACAAGCGTTTTTGTTCTATATATTCCATTCCATTTATCTCTTTTGGGCTCACCTTTGCTACAAAAACAACACTCCATCCTCTTCAGATTCAACCGAGTGTGACATTTGATTGGATTTTCGCGTATATTTCATTTTATTTATTTGTTTCTTTTTGTTATTTTTGATTTCGACTCGCGTATAAAATTCAATACATATATACACACACACAATATATGTACATATGTAGGTATGCAAAGCTCTGGCGCAGCAGATATAAAATATTTGCACACAGCCACATGTATCAGCTATATCATTATAGATATAATTTCCACATATCGATGATATATGCGCTACACGTTTGTTTTTGTTGTTATGGACTAAATGCGTCAATTAAATATAAAAAGGAATAATAAATGAAATATAGAAAGCATCGGCGGCGGTCGGATACAGATACAGATTCAGATCCAAGAGCCACAAAGATCACAGCTCTTTGGCATCTCCTCTCAGCGGGAATTATAAATAAATTATAAATTTTCAATGACACCATAAATTGGAATATATATGTATATTTCAGGTGCACAGCCGAAACATTCGGAAAAGTCGGAAAAGCCGAAAGGAAAATAAATACAAATTATTGCGTTAAAAGATTTCGAACCGAAATACTTAAGAAACGGCAGCTGAGCCTAATCCACCGATCCTCACGGGATACACATATAATCCTTCTATATCTATAATATGCCAATTTCTGCGTATGTTTAATATATTTGCAATTTTGGTACTCGGATTTTTACGAGCTTCTTTAATGACATTTCGCTAAATTCGGCGTTTGGGAGTGCGAGAAATATATGGGAAACCTCCTACAGAAGGGGCCAGCTGTCTAGCTTGTTACGTGCCTCATTAAGAATTTTTGGTTTTTAATTGACAAAACAACGAAAGCCGAAGCAAAAATAAGATACTAAAATTCGAATTTGATTTCGTTTACTATAAATTTTCCAATGCTTTTCTGACTGCTCATTAAATTTGACTTTTCGCCACAATAAATATGCCAGGGTCAGAGAAAATAAAAAAAAAAAACCCCAAAACGATCTAAACATTTATTTATGTGAAGAATTTCCGGGAAAATGTTAAGTTTTTGTGGTGGAAAATTTATTAAGTTTATAAATATTGTAATTCCAGGGATCTTTTGCAATACCTAATATTTATTTTTATGTAGTTAACTTAAGTATTTATATATTAGGTCAAATATTCTTAACAAAAAAAATTGTCGCATAATTTTGGGCTGTCTAATTAAATGAGAAAACCCAGTTGGGAAAAATATTTAAAATATTTGACCTAGTTTTTCAGATTGTAACTCCGGGATATAGTCTTTATAGTTTAGATTTTGAAATATTAGAAACTGTAGATTAATCTGCAATCATTTTAAACCTGATCTGCATACAGGTATTTTTAAATTAAAAAATAAATTATAATATAATTAATAAACTATAAAATCATAATTATTTCCCATAAACCATACGTAAGTCTAGATATTACCAAATCATTTAAATTGTGAAAAACAGAATAGGAAAAACAAAAACAAAATTTTTTCTTGAATATACCTAAAAAATGGCCAAGGAAATTGAAACATCTTGGCAACCTTCGGCTATTCAATATATCCTCCTCCATCTCATTCTTCATTCTTCGTTCCTAGCCTTTCGCTCGCCGGCTGCCAATTTAATTTAATTTATTTGTGCCTCACTTTTATTTATTTGTCCATTCGCTGCGACTTGTTCAAATCATTTTGTTGTCATCTCTTCGCTTATTTATTAGCACCATTCCGCCAAGTGGCTTGCACCGATCTCCCGATTCCCACTCTCCCTCTCAATATCTCTCTTTTCCAATTTATATTTTATATTTTTTAAATAAAAAAATAATTATAATCTAAGAACTGATAGAGCAACAGCCTTAGCTTCATCACAATTTATTGTAAATAGAAGCAACAGGGTCGTGTCCCGAAATTGCTTTATTATTTTTATGGACTGACTTCAAAACCTGATTTTTATTTCATAATATTTCTTTTTTATTTTTATGTATTTTTTTTATTAAGCTTTGCATTATTATAATTATTATTTAAAGCCAAGAAGCAACAGGGTTTGCCGCTTGAGGTTATATATTTTAAAGAGTAACCATGTTTTCACCATAAATTAATTTTTTTATAAATTTATTTTGGGGTCAAAGCCACAGGGCTTATTCAATATTAATAATTTACATTTATTTCTCAGCTGTGCAAGCTTGTGTTTTATTTTAATTAGTTTTTTTCAATTTCCTAATTTTGTTACCTATTTTTTGTTTATTGTTTTGTGTGGTTTTTTTTACATTTAAATTTTATATTTTTTTAACACTGTTAAAAAAAAATAATTACAAATTCCAAGCGGCGTTTTTTTAAATATTTTTTTTTACGTGCGAGCAAGATGGCGCGTTGCCGCGTGTTTACCGTTAGACCGTTGCTAGTACCGTTATTCCGTGCGTTTCGTTATTTTGCTGCCGCGCGATTTTAAACAACGATTCGTCCTGTTCGACGACATGCGTGCAAATAACGGTAGAAACGCCGACCGACACCGACAACGCTGCTGTGTCCATGGTGTGCATTACGGAATAAGGCAAGTCTCGTCGGCTGCCGAAGCTTCCGGGTTTTAGTCCCTTACCGTATGTATGACAGGTAAACCTTTAACTCTTATGTGTGTGAGCAGTGGCAAGGTTTGAATTCTTATTTAATTAAATTAATTTGTTATTAATTTAATTTAAATTGTAAATTCAAATTGATTAAAACTAAAATTATAACCCAAGAATTATACATTTTAACCACGTACCTTCTACGGGTTAATCAGCACACCCTGCTGCCACCTCATTCGTACTTAGTAGGCCGAACCCTTTCACTCAACGAACCACTTTTTGGCGACGAGAACACCTTATGTTTCTTGAATCATGAATGTGCCGGCGCCGACGTCGCTGCCGGCGTGTTGGGTTCTCGCCGCCGCCTCAGCCTCTTCGCCCTCTCTTCCTTTTCCGCTCATTCTCTTTTCACTCGGTTGTAAGCGGCCCCCTCCAGCTGTGATAAGTGGGAGAGTGCAAAATGCCATTGAGTCTCGACTCAAAACACAAGTTGAAACTAATTTTATTGAGTGAGTGTGTTTACCGTTTTGCAGACTTCATTGAGCCGCCAAGCCGGAGCTCTTCTGAGTACCTGTCTCCTCGAAGAAGAGCTCCAACAGATTCGGCTTTCTTAGCTGATCGCCATCAAGTCGCTCCACGCCCTTCCAGTGCAGCAGGGCTGGAATACCTTCCACTGAAAATGGCGGACTGCGAAAGCTGTTCTCCTTATCCATCCAAAAGGCACGATTGCCCACGTCCACCACCAGGATGAGGCAATCCGCTGGCGCGTTGTTGCGAAAGGCGGTCATGATGGTCTCCTCGGCTGAGCAGAATAGATTTAATGTTATTTGCATTATTTGTCAATGGGACAGGCACTGTTTTGGTACCTGTACCTGGAACCTGTAGCCTACAAAACATAACGGCACTTCGTCACCTACCCTCCACGCAGTCTATACACCAGCTGCGTCCCTGATTGTCCTTCTCGCCATAGAAGTAGATGTAGATGGGCTCCGTCTTCTTATCGTGCACCTTCAGGAGATTCTCCATCTCCTTGAATCCCTTTACCGGCACGTATTCGGGCATTTTTTTTTTTTCGTTCGCTTTCGGTTGTCGTTCGTGAAGAGCGCGTCTGTCGATCGCTTGCCTCCTAAACTTGGAATGTTCTCCAGCGCCGGTTTAAGTTGATATTAGAAAGAGCTGCTTATCTGGATCTTATCGGCTGGTTTATGGGGTTCTCGACCACTGCTTATCAGCCATCGGGGACTGGAGTTTGCCGGCAATTAAACAATTTACCTTGTTCCTTGTTGTTTTGTGTTCAGAGTCAAAACGCATGGCAATCGATGTCACTATCGATATGCTTTCAGCGATATATCTATGGGAGAACAAAGCCGCTAAAACCGCTAAACATGTTTATTAATAAATAATTATGAAAATAGACTAAATAAATGTAAAAACGTGAAAAAGAACTTGTAAAAAATTACAGAAAACTTAAAGGGTTTATTATACAATTGAATTTCGAGCAACAGCAATTACTTATATTATTTAATTTTAGCCAAATTTCAAATATGCTAGATCTAGCCGAAAATAAGCCAAACTGGCAGCACGATGTCTTGCAACAGGGTAAAAGAAAACATTCATAAAACCTCAAAAGCTAAATAAAACTTGTATTTTTCCATCAAGGGTCACAAAATTGACTGGAAGCCGGAGCATGTAACCCATTTGCTGCAGCTGCTGAAGCAGCATCCGAATATCTACGACCAAGGACACATCTTCTACCTGGACAAAAAAGCGCGGGACGAGTCCATGGCAAAGATTCTGACACCACTGCAAGCCAAGTTGCCCAATTTGACTGTGGAGGACATCAAGGTGAAGTACGGTGCCCTGCGGAGTCATTATGTATTGCTGAGCCGGCAGATCGCCTCGGAAACGGGTGCCGGCAAGCATATGAAGGTGCCCTATTGGTACAACCACATGGACTTCCTGAGGACGCATCTTAATGGAGCTGGTCATCGCAACGGCGATGAGTCGACGGACCAGAGCGTTGGCAAGAGATTAAGGCTGGACAAAAACCTAATGGCCCTAGACTCCATTCTGGGCGCCAGGGAGAATAATGCGGTTAGTATAATTGTTGCCTTGCGTTTTCTCCAGAAACTTGAGCAATTCCCTTGCAGGAGCTACCCCTCTCCGAAGGCAGTTCCGAGGACGATGAACTGAGTCATCTTAGCTATCCTCCTCATCGCCGCAAGTGTGCCCCAAAGTCGAAGGAGGAGCGTTCGCCGTATGAAGCCATATTGCATATTGCCATAGATGCCGCCGAGAGATTGGCGAGCCGACAGAACTACTCGCCCGATGTGGAGGCCTTTGGTGAACTAATAAAGGCCGAACTGGAATCTCTGCAGGATCTCGATCAGCGAAAGAAGCTGCGGAATAAGCTGATGCAGGTAATAATTGAGAGCTCAAGGGAAGAGAATTAGCACTTGGTTCGAACATTTAAAAGATATTTGAGCAAAATTGTCGCCTCCATTAACTCTGGTAAAATGATAACTTATAAACAAACTCTTAACAATATCTTGAATACAACTATAAACATTTTAAATATAAAATAAATATAAATTTTGTATACACATTTTAAAAGAACATATCTTTTTAAATTCATTTTCTGAAAACGTTCAAAACGTACAAAAACTGTCCTAATTTCTAGCTAAATGAATGAATTGCAGTCTTGAGGAAATTCTGCTTATTTAAGATAACCTTGACCCATTTTTTTGTCGGCTCTCACAACTTGAACTTCATTGAGGGTCGCCCAATACACAGAAGAACTTGAAAAAGTAGCAAAAAAACAAAAGTAAAGACAATATAAAAACAAAAAGAACTTGAAAAACTGCAAGCCAAGTGAAAAATTGTTTATAAAATGCTTGGTTCAAACAGCAGAAGTAATTAGTGTATCTGAGAGAACATCATGGGTAAGATCATGAAGATGCCACATGAGGTTTTAAGGATTTTAATTTTTATTTCAAATGATATATTTATAAAGATTATATATTGTTCTATATATTTCCAGCTATCTTCAGGAACTCCTTGCTGCTCCTAGTGCTTCTGCTGGCCCTCCATTTGGAGCAGGCCTCGAAAATCGCCTACAAAAAGCCGCTTTATGGCAAGAGTAACTACATAAAGGAGAAGAAGTTAAGGAGTAAGGGACTCAAGATGGAGACCACCACCGCTACTACTACCAGAACCAGCACCACCGAGGAGGATTGGCCATCGGCCGTGGAATTTGTGATTGTGGCAACAACGCCTAGAAGCGAGCAGGAAGCCAGTGGGGAAGCATTTAATAGGAGTACCAGCAGCATTATTGAAACGGCCACAGCTATGTCGGTAGAGACATCATCAACCAGACCAGCAGATGCATCCTCCAAGACATTAGAAGCATTCAATCAGACAACCATGCCGATGAGCACCACCACGTCCAGTACTTTGGTTAATACCCTTCCTTCGCCACCGATGCCAGGAGCTGCCGTTATCCCCGATAATCAGCCCGTGCCCTGCACTTGTGGGGTATTCCTCTCCTCACAAATACCAAATGGTTTGCCCAAGGCTCCATTAATCAACCAGGAGCTGGATCGAATGTTTCCCTGCAATGCCATTGGTCGCAAACAGTGCCAAACCAAGTGCCTAGAAGCGGTGAGTACTAAATATTTATATGTTTCCTTTTAAATTGATTTAAATTCGATTAGCATCATCTGGAAATCGAACTCTTCTAGATATTGTATTTATGTATTTTTTAAAAATTGATTTACAGATCGTTCAGCACCTGCCAAATTCCGCCAACATTGTTTGCTCCACCTTGGGTCATGATTGCCACAAGGAGCGTGCCTATTTGTTTATTAAAAACTGTCACAACCAATGGGTTAATACCAATCTCCAGGCGGGCAGGGAATATTGCTGTCGCAGTGGTATTCCCTACCGCTGTCCCTTGATGGGTTAATGCTTTGAAGACTCAATAAATTGTATAACAAACTCTAATTATGGAAATTTAAATTTAAAGGGTTGCAAGAGCAAATTAGGATTTTCAAAATTTAAAGTTTTGAATTTATTAGCCGAGCTTGCAACCAATAGGGCATGGTGTGAGACTTGGCTTTGAGCAGGAAAAACATCGATATATTTATGCTATATCGAATAAAACAATCGAATAATGCCTATAAGCCAAGGCGGTGAATTCGGTTGTTTTCCGCCACACGTCCATCCGTCTGCCAATTGAAGTAGATTTACAAGTAAAGCACCTTTTTTCGAAGCAGCCAGGCGAGTGTGTGTGTGTGTGCTACATTCGCCGCTTGATTGTGTTATCAATCGGACGCAAAAACAAAAGCCGCGTTTACAAAACTAAAACGTGCTCGCTCACAACTACCAGTGTAAAAAAACGAGAACTTCGCAAGGAATTTTTGGGTGCGTGTAAGAAAGAGATGCTGCTAAAAAAGCTTAGGGATATTTTTAATATATATACGTATTTAACTTGGCAATTTCCATGGGACTCCAATTTATGTTCGCAATTGCGTGTTTGTTATTGTTATTGTGTGTCTCAAAAACAAAAACCGGTTCCAAGTTCACTCTGAACTTTATACACGTGCTTATGCACGCACACATAGAATACGTACTTCTCACGTACACGCAAGCCGAGAGACTCCGTCTGTCTGTCTCTCTCTTTATCTGCGTAAACAAACCATCAATAGCAATAACAAAAAATTAAACCACTTGATAAGCACCGTGTTGTCAACCATTCCCAATCAGTTTTCTGTTGCACTCTCTATTCGCCTTGTTGATGTTGTTCTTGCCCTGGCAACATGTTGCCAGACGGCCGCCGATTAAGCTCAAGTGGGACAGAGACAGAGGATGTGCCGGCTTGCGGGCTTTGCTCTCAGCTTGGGGTCGTTGTTTGTGTATGTGAGAGGTGGAAAAAGAGAGAAGAGGGGGAAAAACACATGTTGCTTTTGTGGCGGTGTATTTATTATTATTTCTTTTGTATTATAATTTAAATAAATTTTTTATTTAAATTTAAAATAATTTGAATATAAATCTTAAACCAGATTTGATTATTTAAAAATGTTGTTAATATTTTGTTTATTATTATTTTTATCTTTAATCTCTGCTAAAAATGTATAAGTTGTATTTCCTTTTGTTTTGAAAATTTCAAGAAAATCCTAGCCACCAAAAACTATCTTTAACTGCGTTGTATGTTTAATTAGTCAACAAATATTAATTTTAATGTAACTTGATTTCTCACTCTGAAGTCCCATCGCAGATAGGATGACTTGTAGGACAAATATCAAGAAGCGGCACAAATATTTACCTACTCCAATTACACTTCTGCCTAATGCCAAAAGGCAAGGCTTCTATAACTCATTAATTAAAGACTCTTGAGTGGAATGTTATCTGTAAAGTGACATTATGTGCTGCTTTGGCTGATAATAACTATTGCTCTTGACTGAATTGTGATCCTCCTTTTACCTCCCAGCAGAGAAAGCGAGAGAATGTCGCCCACAAAATGTTATCTAATCCTGGAGGATGGCACCGTTTGGCCTGGTACCCCCTTTGGCCACATTCCCTCGAACATTGACAATGGCAGTTTTGGCGGCGAGGTGGTCTTCCAAACCGGCATGGTCGGCTACACCGAAGCACTCACTGACCGCTCATACAGTGGCCAGATTCTGGTTCTGACTTATCCCCTTATTGGAAACTATGGTGTCCCATCACCTCTTGATAAGGATGAGTACGGTCTGCCCCTTCATTTTGAATGGCTTGATGGCGTGGTCCAGGCCAGTGCCTTGGTGGTGGGCGAAGTGGCCGACACGGCTTGGCATTGGCGTACCTGTACGACGCTGCCCAAGTGGCTGAAGAAGCACAAGGTGCCCGGTATCAGTGGCATTGATACCAGGGCCCTCACCAAGAAGCTACGCGAACAGGGCAGCCTTCTAGGCAGGATCGTTTACGGGGAGGAGCAGGTGGAACTGCCCAGGTCCAGCTTTGTGGATCCCAACACCAGAAACTTGGCAAAGGAATGCAGTGTAGCGAAGCGGCAGGTGTTTGGCGATCCCAAGGGCAAGGGGCCGCGCATTGCCATCATGGATTGTGGGTTGAAGCTTAACCAGCTGCGTTGTCTCCTGGATCGTGGGGCCTCGGTAGTGCTGCTCCCTTGGACAGCAAAACTACAGGATGAGCAGTTCGATGCCCTCTTTTTGTCCAACGGACCTGGTAATCCCGAAAGCTGCGAAGAGATTGTTGAGCAGGTGAGGGAGTCCCTTAATCTCTTATATTATATTTATATTTATTTTATTTTTTTCCTTCCCCACAAAAGCTGCGCCTTGTCCTGAAAGGTGAGACCATTAAACCGATCTTTGGCATTTGCCTGGGCCACCAGCTGCTGGCCAAGGCCATTGGCTGTTCCACCTACAAGATGAAGTACGGCAACAGGGGTCACAATTTGCCCTGCTTACACCGCACCAGTGGACGTTGCCTGATGACCTCCCAGAATCATGGCTATGCCGTGGATCTGGAGCACCTGCCACCCGGATGGTCGGAGCTGTTTGTGAATGCCAATGATGGCACCAATGAGGGCATTGTCCATGCCACCAAACCATACTTTTCGGTCCAGTTTCATCCGGAGCATCATGCTGGACCCCGGGACACCGAGTTCCTCTTCGATATCTTCCTGGAGAGCATTAAGCAACCCGATGTAACCATACCGCAGCTGATTGAGAACTTTTTGAAGCCAGCTACCTTGGCTGTAACACCTTCAGAGAAGCCACGCAAAGTGCTTATCCTGGGCTCTGGCGGTTTATCCATCGGCCAGGCCGGCGAGTTTGATTATTCCGGATCGCAGGCCATTAAGGCCATGCGGGAGTCGAACATTCAAACGGTTTTAATCAATCCGAATATTGCGACGGTCCAGACCTCGAAGGGAATGGCGGACAAGTGCTATTTCCTGCCACTGACACCCCACTATGTGGAGCAGGTTATCAAATCAGAGCGTCCGAATGGCGTACTCCTCACCTTTGGCGGCCAAACGGCGCTGAACTGTGGCGTGGAACTGGAACGGGCCGGCGTCTTCTCCAAATACAATGTACGCATTTTGGGCACGCCCATACAGTCCATTATTGAGACGGAGGATCGAAAGCTATTTGCCGATCGTGTAAATGAAATTGGGGAGCAGGTGGCACCCTCGGAGGCGGTCTATTCGGTGGCTGAGGCTTTGCAGGCGGCCGATCGTCTGGGTTATCCCGTTATGGCCCGGGCTGCCTTCTCCCTCGGGGGCTTGGGTTCGGGCTTTGCGAATAACAAGGAGGAACTCCAGGTCTTGGCCCAACAGGCTTTGGCCCATTCGAGCCAACTGATTGTGGATAAATCCCTCAAGGGCTGGAAGGAGGTGGAGTACGAGGTGGTGCGCGATGCCTACGACAACTGCATCACCGTCTGCAACATGGAAAACTTTGATCCGCTAGGCATACACACCGGCGAGAGTATAGTGGTGGCCCCCTCCCAGACCCTCTCGGATCGCGAGTATCAAATGCTAAGGAGCACTGCCCTCAAGGTCATCCGTCACTTTGGCGTCGTTGGTGAGTGTAATATTCAGTATGCCTTATGCCCCCACTCGGAGCAGTACTACATCATCGAGGTGAATGCCCGGCTGAGCCGGAGCTCGGCTTTGGCCAGCAAGGCCACCGGTTATCCGCTGGCCTATGTGGCCGCCAAGCTGGCTTTGGGTCTGCCGCTGCCCGAGATCAAGAACTCGGTGACGGGGAATACAACGGCCTGTTTTGAGCCATCGCTGGATTACTGTGTGGTCAAGATTCCACGCTGGGATCTGGCCAAGTTTGTCCGCGTAAGCAAGCACATTGGCAGCTCCATGAAGAGCGTTGGCGAGGTGATGGCCATTGGTCGAAGCTTTGAGGAGGCCTTCCAGAAGGCCCTGCGCATGGTGGATAGCGATGTGTTGGGCTTTGATCCGGATGTGGTCACCCTGGACCAGGAGCAGCTCAATGAGCAATTGTCGGAGCCCACAGATCGGCGACCCTTTGTCCTGGCCGCCGCCCTGCAGTCGGGCATGTGCATCGATGAGCTACATAACCTGACCAAGATTGATCTCTGGTTTCTGGAGAAGCTAATGAGAATTATACAGCTAAACTCTCAGCTCACCCAGGCGGGCAGCCAGATGGGTCCTGACTTGCTGCTAAAGGCCAAGCGTTATGGTTTCTCGGACAAGCAAATAGCCAAGGCGGCCAAGAGCACTGAGCTGGTGGTGCGCCATCTAAGGCAAGATTTTGGCATCCGTCCGCATGTCAAGCAGATTGATACGGTGGCCGGCGAGTGGCCGGCAAGCACCAATTATCTCTACAATACCTACAATGGCAGCGAGCACGATGTGACCTTTCCCGGTGGCCACACCATTGTCGTGGGCTCGGGCGTCTATCGTATAGGTTCGTCTGTGGAGTTTGATTGGTGCGCCGTCGGCTGCTTGAGGGAGCTGAGGAAGCTGCAACGTCCCACCATTATGATTAACTATAATCCGGAGACGGTGTCCACCGACTATGATATGTGCGATCGTTTGTATTTCGAAGAGATAAGCTTCGAAGTGGTTATGGATATTTACGAGATGGAGTCTAGCGATGGCATCATCCTTTCGATGGGCGGCCAGTTGCCCAATAATATAGCCATGGATTTACATCGGCAGCAGGCCAAGGTTTTGGGCACATCGCCGGAATCCATTGATTGCGCCGAGAATCGCTTCAAGTTCTCCCGCATGCTGGATCGCAAGGGCATCCTCCAGCCGCGCTGGAAGGAGCTAACCAATCTGCAATCTGCCATTGAGTTTTGCGAGGAGGTTGGCTACCCTTGTTTGGTCAGGCCTTCATATGTCCTCTCTGGCGCTGCCATGAATGTGGCCTACTCGAATCAGGATTTGGAGACCTACTTGAATGCCGCCTCTGAGGTGAGTCGCGAGCATCCGGTGGTCATTTCCAAGTTCCTTACGGAGGCCAAGGAGATCGATGTGGATGCTGTGGCCGCCGATGGACAGATCTTGTGCATGGCCGTTTCCGAGCATGTGGAGAATGCTGGTGTCCATTCGGGGGATGCCACTTTGGTGACACCGCCCCAGGATCTGAATGCCGAGACCCTGGAGGCTATCAAGCGGATCACATGTGATCTGGCTAGCGTTCTGGATGTCACGGGTCCCTTTAACATGCAACTGATTGCCAAGAATAACGAACTGAAGGTCATCGAGTGCAATGTCCGCGTCTCCCGTTCGTTTCCCTTTGTGTCCAAGACCTTGGACCATGACTTTGTGGCCACAGCCACGAGAGCTATTGTTGGACTGGATGTGGAGCCGCTGGATGTGCTCCATGGGGTGGGCAAGGTGGGCGTAAAGGTGCCCCAATTTAGTTTCTCCCGTTTGGCCGGCGCTGATGTTCAGCTGGGCGTGGAGATGGCCTCCACCGGCGAGGTGGCCTGCTTTGGGGACAACAGATATGAGGCTTATCTCAAGGCCATGATGTCCACAGGATTCCAGATACCCAAGAATGCAGTGCTCCTGTCCATAGGCAGCTTTAAGGTGGGTTTTGCTATTATTATTTTTATTTATTTATTCTATATTTTTGTAAATGCTTTATATACTTCTTTAGCACAAAATGGAACTGCTGCCTTCGATTCGGGATCTGGCCAAGATGGGCTACAAACTATATGCCTCCATGGGCACGGGTGACTTTTATGCCGAGCACGGAGTTGATGTGAGTAAAGCTAAAGTCTATAAGCCTAGAAAAACCATAAAACATTTTAAATTTTATAAAAAACCTCAAAAATTTCTTGATTTTGTGATTTTTGTACATTTTGTCGAGAGATTTATTATCTGTAATTTAACTTTTTTTAAAAGTTCGATTTCTTAAGGATTACAAACTATTTTTGATTAGTAATTATACGACTGCAATATTAGGTAATCCCTATCTCTTAGCCATTTCCCTTAACCTTATCCTTATCTAGCCTATAGTTACGTCTTATCAGCTTATCACTAAATCCTCCGGAAGATGGTTTAGGTTCCTATATGTTTCACTAGTTAAAGGCACCCTTGAGCTTCTGCGTTTTACTCTTGAGGATCACCTTGAGCTCCTCCCGCTTGGCCTCCGAGGGGGCCACCTTCTGGACCAGTTGCTCCGTCCGGCTGCTAATGGCATCAAATTTATTGGGATCGAGATTGAGGCGCTGGATTAGACCATTAAGTGAGAGTAGAGAGCCTTCATCCTTGGGAGTTAGGCTCTCCACTTGCTGATCCTGATTCTGATCCCGATCCTGAACTTGATCTTGGACCTTGGGATTTTCTACCATTTTCTCCTTAAAAGATCTAAGCTTATCCTTATTTTCTTCTTCAATTTCAATGGCCTCCAAGTCCCCTGCATCCTTGTGGGAGGGATTACCCCTTAGGATTCCGCTCAACTTGATGTTGGCTGGATGGGGATTTATATGCCGGGCGAGGGGATCTGGGGTGTGTATTTGCACCACATGATCTAGGAACTTAATGGATTTCCTGCGCACTGTGGGCGGTGATTCCACCACGTCCTCGAAGGGGAAACCCTTACTGCTCGGCAAGGGAGTCCAGGTGCTGCTACAGCTGACCATAGCTTCCATGTTGCTCGCCGCCTGCTGCAGCTCCTGTGTAAAGTGCTGGGCCTGCTGGGAGCAACCCAGGTGCTGGTACAAGCGACACAGTCGCTGGCCCTGCTCCAGATAAAGCTGGGCATGACCACGATTGCCAAAGCGAATGGCACGGGCCAACATGGCCAAGAGGTGGTCCAGCAGAAGCTCCAGAAGATTGCTGCGTCGCAGGATCTCAAGGCCATTGTTGAGCTGAGGTTTCGCTGGCATTTCCGGGTAGGACATCTCCGAGTTGGAGCGGGCCAGAAGACGATGTAGATCTAGGGAGTCCAGCGAAGAGCGTCGCTGTTCAACCTCCGAAAGCTGCCGCTGCAGTTGCCTCTGATTGGTGGCCCTCAGGAGCTGCGTCTTCCTGCGCAGCTTACCCCTCGAGCGCTCCTGATGCTGGGCCAGGCCCAGGAGTCCACCTGCATCAGTAATGTCTGTCTTTCGGCGCGAGATCTTTGACCTGTCCAGCTCAGGTTCCAGCTCCTTTTCCTGGGCAGGGAAACCCTGACGCGGACGCGAGAACTTGCCCCAGGCATGCAGCTCGAGGTAATCCTGACTGCAGAGATTCCTCAACAGCCGCTTGTAGTCTAGCTGGGGATAGAAATCCGGAGCATGCTGGAGATTCCTCAGAGCCTGGACCACATGCAGCAGCGGCTGCTCCGCAATGCCGGCCATCACCGAGCGCAGCTTCATCAGCGTGTCCTCCGGCACATGCTCGAAGAGATTCCGCCGCTCAATAAAGTAATCACTAAGATGCTTCTTCGCCAGACAGGTGTCGAACGAGCGAATGAATCGCACCAGCCGCTCGCCCAAGAACTCCTCCGGCCAATCGTTGCTGTGCCGCTCGCATTGCCAAAAGAGATGGGCACGCAGCTGCTCCAGCAGCACACCGCCCGGCGGCTGGGCATCGGTGCTCTCCACAAAGGTCTTCACCAGCAGCTTCATCAGCTGGAAGACCTTCAGCTGCATGGGCGTCAGGCAGTGGCGTTCCAAATACTGCTCCGCCAGCGGAAAGACAATCCGCCACTCTAGCTCCCGGAAGGGATTACGCGAACGCTTGGGGGCATAGCCCACGGGCACTACATGGTAGCCAAAGGATCGTATGCGCTTCCTCATCTGCTCGGTGGGCCATTGAAACTGCTCGGCGGTGTGCAGATTGGTGAGTCTCGGCCTTGCCCTCAGTCCAAACTCAAAGGCACAATCGGGCCAGGCATGCGGTACATGGATGGCGGGCACAAGCTCCTCCCTGGCGGTATAAACACTACAACCGCGATAGGAGGCAGACCCCAGTTGGGTGGCGCTAATGCCCAGCTGGTAACCCAACTGCTGGCGAAGCAACTCGCCAAAGTAGAGCATAAATTGCTGCGAACTGAGGTAGCTTTGCTGCAGCTGCTCCGCCTGGCATTGACGCAGAACCTGAACGGTCTCGTAGCCAGCGGGAGGATAGTTACGATCCCTGTCCCGTGCCTGCCTTTCGTCATCATCTAGGTCATCCTCGCTGGCAGAGGAAGAATCCTCGTCATCGGTCGGGTCTAGTTCCGGCGGCAGACAGCTGGCCAAACGCCGGATGCAGCTCTCCGGCAGGACATTGCTCTTCAGGCTGTAATTCCTAGTCAAACGTAACTCCTCCAAGGGTCGTGGTGTATTTAGCCTGGCCAGGTAGACATGATCGTAGTCCCCTGAGCTGTAGCCGGAGGATGAAGAGGAGGAGGATCCTGCATCCGTATAGACGCACTCTTCATCGCTGCTGATGGGAGGAATGGGTGAGCCTGGATTGCTACCGCTGCTCCTGCTGCTACCCAGTGTGGAGCGATCGCGTAGCTTGAGACGCACATAGCCCATCCAGCGGGTCTGCTCCATAAGCTCAACCAGCTCAGAGCTGCAGGGTGTCTTGCAGTAATAATCCGTTTCCAAAAGGACCTTGCACAGAGCCGCCACCGTGTCATAGTTGGCATCATGGGGTCGGGCCACGTCCACATTCTCAAAGACCACATATGTCACGGGTTTCTGCAGCGGCTGTGGCGGTGCCTTTGATGAGCTGTAGGAGTTGGATTTCATCAAGGATTTGCTAGAATTTTCCTCTAGGATTAAGGATAAACTCACTTGGTTTTGAAAAGCAAATTCCTGGCCACAGCCGCATCTATGGCCCCGCTCTGCAACAAGCTATGCTCGGCGCTCTGCCGCCTGGCCAGTAGCTCGGCATCCACCTGACCCATTTCCGCTTCAAAGTGCGAAAAGAACTGAACGCCCAGTAGCAATTGATTCAACAGAAACGTGTGCAGTTCCCGGTCCAATTGATCCAGTGTCCGTCGCTCCACTGTCCTCTGGAACTCCTCGCGCTGCTGCTCCAATGTCCTGGCATACAGGGCGCTCATACACTCGGTGGGACTACTGCCATTGCTGCCGCCCAGGAGGCGCAGCTGCAGGGCCAGATCCGGATGCGATTTACCGCTGAGACGTTGACGTCTCTGGATGGAGCCCGAAATGGAGCCCCCGCTGCCATTGTTCGACTTTGTTCCTCCCGATCCTCGTTTACGGCGATGCTTCCGTCGAGCATTTCGTTTCTGTAACTTTTGTATTTGCCGCTGATGCTTCTCATCCTGCCGGCGACGCCATTGCAGACGCTGGCCTGGAATGGCCGCCTGCAGGGCATTCGGCGTATTGCTGGTATCACCGCTGTGCTCTGCCTTCGACCAGGAGCAGCCCATGATTGATTCGCAACTGATACTCGGCACTTGTCTTGCCTGATAAAAAAAAAGACGATAAGATCGCTGACTTGGTGATCACGAATCGCATATCGGCAAGCGACAATCGGCGATCAAATAATGACTTTGGCAATCTCCGCCTGATAACGTGTCAGACGAAAGTGTCTCTTCCTTGCCTCGCTTCCGGCTCTGGCACTGCTTTCCTGCCGTTTGCTACGTCCCCCGCCTTGGCTATTAGGTTTAACTCCCGAGTTCCTAGTACTTTGGGGTGTCAAAAAGCGGAATTGATTTCTAATTTACAGTGAAAAATAATTAAATTTAATCATACATGAAATAATTAGTAAATAAAATTAATAAATTATTAATAAATTCGATATTTAATAATGTTAAAATCATCTGAATAAACCCAAGATTCAATATAGATCAGAGCCAATGGAGATCGTCTGATCGGTAGGCAAGTGCAGCAAGGTGAAAAAATAAATCGAATTAATCGCAAATTTTTTAATAATATCGATTTTTTTAAGTTAGATACGATATTTTTCAATACTTACAAGTTCGATATATCAGATAGAACGATATTTTTGTAAATAATATTGGTCATGTTAAAAAAGAAAGATCCTCTGTACACTTGAATAATTGAAATCGAATATAATGGGTATTATAATATTAATATTTTAAATTTGGATATTGATATCGATATTGCGATATTTTCGATATTATTATTAAGCATTTTAAAAACAAAAAACCACTGTGCTCTTATTGTCACTGCCTGTCTTTCTTATTTTCTTTTTGTTTATGGCTTGTCGAACAATAGACATGGAAAATCAATCCATAAATAGCGAACGATATCTTTATTATGTGCTTAGAGCAAACAATTGATTCAAGTTGAAGATGACGCTTACTGTCGCTGGCCTTGGCGTTGCCTTCTATATATGTTCTATATAATATATATATTGTATATATTGGTATATCCCCGTCATTTTACTTGGATTTTTTCAGGTGGAATCCGTTCAGTGGACATTCGACAAGACCACGCCCGATGACATCAATGGTGAACTGCGCCATTTGGCCGAGATTCTGGCCAATAAGCAATTCGATATGGTCATCAACCTGCCCATGAGCGGCGGTGGAGCCAGGCGGTGAGTAGTGGTCAACGGTAGTTACTTGTTTTAATTGTTTATATATTGTTTTTATAATATAATAGTCAAAGATAAACGATAAATATGGGTCTGTAAAATCATTTAAAATAATTCTCTCAAGGAGTCAGGACTCAACCGAATTGTCTTGCTCTCTCTCTCTATATAAGATCTCGTTTAAAGAGCTTCTAAAGTCTATCTCAACTGGAAATACTCAACCTTTTATGATCTCAAAAACCTCTCAAGGAGTTAGAGCTCAACCGAAATGTCTTGCTCTCTCCTTAAATTCTCTCTGAGTGATCTTTAATAACACATCTCAACTGAGAATATTCAATATATGTATCAATCAAATTAATAATTCCCAATCGTTATGATCAAATCCTGCACCCCATCTTGCTCGAATTACCACTTAATATATCCCCCATACTCCTACAGGGTCTCCTCCTTCATGACACATGGCTATCGCACTCGCCGCCTGGCCGTGGACTACTCCATCCCCTTGGTGACCGATGTCAAGTGCACCAAGCTACTGGTGGAATCGATGCGCATGACCGGCGGCAAGCCGGCTATGAAGACGCATACGGACTGCATGACTTCGCGACGAATTGTCAAGCTGCCCGGCTTTATCGATGTCCATGTTCATCTCCGCGAGCCGGGGGCCACCCACAAAGAGGACTTTGCCAGCGGCACAGCGGCAGCTTTGGCCGGCGGTGTGACCCTTGTGTGCGCCATGCCCAACACAAATCCCTCGATTGTGGATCGCGAGACATTCGCACAGTTCCAGGAGCTGGCCAAGGCGGGTGCTCGCTGTGACTACGCTTTGTATGTGGGTGCCACAGATAGTAATTGGGGGCAAGTCCAGGAACTGGCCTCCCAGGCATGTGGCCTGAAGATGTATCTGAACAATACCTTTGGCACTTTGAAGCTGAGCGACATGACCGCCTGGCAGCGACACCTGGCCCACTGGCCAAAGCGAGCGCCGATCGTATGCCACGCGGAACAGCAGAGCACAGCGGCTGTAATACTGATGGCCCACCTGCTGGACCGACCGGTGCACATCTGTCATGTGGCCAGGCGGGAGGAGATTCAGCTGATACGCGCTGCCAAGGAGAAGGGCATTCGGGTGACTTGTGAAGTGTGTCCGCATCATTTGTTCCTAAGCACCAAGGATGTGGAGCGTCTGGGCGAGGGCATGGCGGAGGTGAGACCTTTGCTTTGCTCCCCCGACGACCAGGAGGCATTGTGGGAGCACATGGACTATATTGATGTGTTTGCCACCGATCATGCACCGCACACGCTGGCCGAGAAGCGTTCGGAGCGTCCGCCACCTGGTTTCCCCGGCGTGGAGACCATTCTGCCGCTCCTGCTGCAGGCTGTACACGAGGGTCGCCTCACCCTGGAGGATATCAAGCGGAAGTTCCATCGCAACCCGAGGAACATCTTCAATTTGCCTGACCAGCCACACACCTATGTGGAGGTCGATTTGGATGAAGAGTGGACCATTACTGGAGGCGAAATGAAGAGCAAGTCTGGCTGGACTCCCTTCGAGGGCACCAAGGTTAAGGGTCGCGTTCATCGCGTTATTTTGCGCGGCGAGGTGGCCTACATCGATGGTCAGGTGCTGGTCCAGCCCGGCTATGGCCAGAATGTGCGCCAAGCCAAGCTTGGACAGCTTCTGGCGGAGGGTCTCACCTCCCAAGATCAACTACTGCCCAACGATAATGATACCAATGAGACCTTTGCCCATCTCCTGACCACCGAGGGAGCCCATGCAGCTGCCGGTGCCGGTGCCAAGGTGCACTTTGTGGACGAGGCCAATAGCTCGACCTTCCTACGTCCGGTTTCACCCCGCATTCGCCTGGATTCCACCAGCAATACCACCCTAAGGGAGTATCTGCAGCGCACCACGCAGCCGGCACAAGGCGCTACCAGTCCCAATCCCGTGGCCCATTCCCTGTTGGGCAAGCACATCCTGTCCGTGGACATGTTTAATAAGGAGCACCTTAATGACATCTTCAATTTGGCCCAGTTGCTCAAGTCGCGGGTGACCAAGGAACGGTCCGTCGATGAGCTACTGCGCGGCAAGATCATGGCCAGTGTGTTCTATGAGGTGAGCACGCGGACGCAGTGCAGCTTTGCCGCCGCCATGCTGAGGCTGGGCGGCCGTGTGATCAGCATGGATCAGATTACCTCGTCGGTGAAGAAGGGCGAGACGCTGGAGGATAGCATCAAGGTGATGGCCAGCTATGCGGATGTCATGGTCCTGCGCCATCCCATGCCGGGTGCTGTGGCGGTGAGTGGGATGGGGATTGGGGAGATCTTACCTGTTTCTGGCTATAATTTCTCCATTGCTTTCCCTTAGCGTGCTGCCTCCTACTCCCGGAAGCCCTTGATCAATGCCGGCGATGGCGTTGGCGAGCATCCCACCCAGGCTCTGCTGGACATCTTTACCATTCGCGAGGAAATCGGCACGGTTAATGGTCTGACCATCACCATGGTGGGTGACCTGAAGAACGGACGCACCGTGCACTCGCTGGCCCGCCTCCTGACGCTGTACAACGTGACCCTCCAGTATGTGGCACCGAATAATCTGCAGATGCCCGATGATATTGCCAAGTTTGTGAATGAGCGCGGCGTCAAGCAGTACTTTGCCAACGGGCTGAAGGATGTCCTTCCCACCACGGATGTGCTGTATATGACGCGTATTCAGCGCGAGCGATTCGAGAGCGAGGAGGAGTACCAGAGTGTAAGTGGTCCATAGAGCTTATATTATGTATTTCGTTATTTATGTATTTATTTATTTTTCTTTCAGTGCTGTGGTAAGCTGATTGTGACCCCCGAACTGATGACTCTGGCCAAGAAGCGTTCGATCGTGCTGCACCCATTGCCCCGCCTGGACGAGATTAGCCGCGACTTTGACTCCGATCCGAGGGCTGCGTACTTCCGGCAGGCCGAGTACGGCATGTATATACGCATGGCCCTGCTGGCCATGGTCGTGGGTAGCCGGAATACAGCTCTCTAAAGGTTCAACAGATCATCTCTTCGTTATTTTCTTTGTACATCTTGTAATGTATATTTAAAATTTTGCACAATAAACCTAACTATAACATAACTTGAATTTAAAAAGTTGTAAATAAATTAACTTTTATTAATAGTTATTTTGTGAGCCCCAGTGAGGCTGCACTATTGCTAAATTAAAGGTTAAGTTTATAATAATTAAAGTTTATCTTGTTTAAAAATGTAACGGCTAAATAGGGTTTTTTTTGCTTCATCTGGCAACGCCAAATAAAGTTTAGTATTTTGTTCTCTCGTCTCTGTTTGCCTCTTGCTCTCTCTTACAGCTCTAAACGGGGCAGTCGGTATATTTGCCTAATCCCCGGCACGGTCTCACTGATTTCACGTTTTTAAAAAGTCGCACACGTGCATTTCAAAACCGCCTTTCTGCCCTTTATTTACTTTGGAAATTCGGGATATTTAGACAGAGGGCCAAGAACGCACTAGCTCCAGGATGGTGAAGAAGAAAATAGACAACCGGATCCGGGTGATGATCGAGAACGGCGTGAAGCTGGGCCACCGCACCATGTTCATTGTGATTGGCGACAAGGCGCGCGACCAAGTGCCGATCCTGTACGACATCCTGACCAAGTCCACGGTAAAGGCCCGGCCCACAGTGCTGTGGTGCTACAAGAACAAGGACGAGGCCATATCCAAGTGGGTTTTTTTTGCCTGATTTAAAGTCAAGTTAAGTGATTTTAATTGATGTTTTTTTCCCCGTTTTTATAGCCACGGCAAGAAGCGTGCCAAAAAAATAGCCGTGGGCAAGGTGGACGTTAACGAGGCGGATCTGTTCGATTCATTCCGTGTGGCCACCACCATCCATGGCAGATACTACTCGGAAACGCATGCCATACTGGGACGAACATACGGCGTCTGTGTGCTGCAAGACTTTGAGGCACTCACGCCCAACCTCTTGGCCCGCACCGTGGAAACGGTGGAGGGTGGCGGCCTGATCATCCTGCTGCTTAAGACCATGCAGTCCCTGAAGCAGCTCTACACGATGAGCATGGATGTGCACAAGCGTTACCGCACAGAGGCTCACCAAACGGTCACCTGTCGGTTCAATGAGCGCCTGATTTTGTCCCTGGCGGATTGCCAGCGCTGTCTGGTGGTCAACGATGACCTCACCGTGCTGCCTTTGAGCTCCAAGACCATTAATGTGGTGCCTGTGAATGTAAGATTCGGAATTTTAAGAGAAATTCAAGGAATTTACTGACTTTACCTTACTTTATTTTTTACAGCCCGATGGTGCTGGCCGCTCGCCCAACGAGTCCAGCTTGAGGGAGCTCAAGGAGAGCCTGCTGAACGTCCAGCCAGCTGGGGCCTTGGTTAATCTCTGCAAGACCTACGATCAGGCCAATGCCGTGGCCCAGTTCATTGAGGCCTTGGTGGATAAGCAACTGAAGCCGCCCATGTCCTTGACGGCTGCTCGTGGTCGTGGCAAATCGGCTGCCCTGGGCCTGTCCATAGCCGCCGCTGTGGCCTTTGGCTATGTGAATGTCTATGTGACATCACCGCATCCGGAGAACTTGATCACCCTCTTTGAGTTTGTCCTCAAGGGCTTCGATGCGCTGGAGTATCAGGAGCATGCAGACTACACAATTATACGCTCCACGAATGCCGAGTACAAGAAGGCCATTATAAGGATCAATATAACGAGGAGCAGCCGCCAGACTATACAGTATATAGCGCCCAGCGATACCCATCTCCTGAATGCAGCCGATCTGCTGCTAATCGACGAGGCGGCTGCCATTCCCCTGCCGCTGGTCAAGAAGATGATTGGTCCGTATTTGGTATTCATGGCGAGCACTATCAATGGCTACGAAGGCACGGGCAGATCCCTCAGCCTGAAGCTCATCTCCCAGCTGCAAAAGGATAATAATGCCCGGCCACCGCTCAAGCTGGAGGAATCGATACGTTATCAGGAGAACGACGACATCGAGAAGTGGCTGATCAATTTGCTCTGCCTGGATGCCAGCACGGTGCCGGGTATTAGCTCGGGTTGCCCCACGCCCGATGCCTGTGAGCTGTACTATGTGGACAGGGACGCATTGTTTTCGTATCACAAGGCAGCCGAGGCCTTCCTGCATCGCCTCGTCTCCATCTATGTGTCGTCGCACTACAAAAACACCCCAAATGACCTGCAGATGATGAGCGATGCCCCGGCACATCATTTGTTCTGCCTGCTGGGACCTGTTCAGCGAATGGATGCCTTACCCGAGATCCTAGTGGTTATCCAAGTGGCCCTGGAGGGTCAGATTTCGGCCCAAAGCATCAGTGAATCCCTGGGCAGGGGCAAGAAGGCAGCTGGAGATTTGATACCCTGGAATATAGCAGAGCAGTATGGAGATCGGGATTTCCCAAAGCTCGGTGGCGTAAGGATTGTGCGAGTGGCAACGCATCCCAACTACCAGAGAATGGGCTACGGCAAGCGGGCCATTCAGCTGCTCAAGGATTACTATGGTCATAAGTTTACCAATATCGATGATGTGAGTGCCAAAAAGGATGACACTGCCGGTGGCATTGAGGAGGTGGAGGAGGAGCAGCTTAGCCTGCTCAAGGAGCAGATCCGACCCAGGAGTCGCATTCCCACGCTACTGCAGCGCCTGCATGAACGCACTCCTGAAGCTGTGGACTATATTGGCACCTCCTATGGCCTCACCTCCGAGCTGTTGAAATTCTGGAAAGGCGCCGGCTTTGTGCCCGTGTATCTTAGCCAAAAATCCAATGAACTGACCGCCGAGCACAGCTGCATCATGCTGCACACCATCAGCGAGGGCTCGTGGCTGCCCCTCTATTACCGGGACTTCAAGCGGCGAGTGCTCAAGCTCATGGGCAAGACGTTCCGGGAGTTTGAGACGAAACTCTGCCTGGCCCTGCTCAAGAACAAGGTCGGGGAACAGTCCAGCCAGCTCCAGATTGTGGAGCGCCTGGACAAGCCCATGCTGGATGTCTATTTCCTGCCGCACGATCTGCAGCGCCTGGAGAGCTATGCCCGCCAGCAGTCCGAATTCCGGCTGATTCTCGACCTGCTCACGGACATTGCTCAGCTGTATTTCCAGGGAAGGATCGAGGGACTGCAGCTGGATCTGGTGCAGCAGGGCATCCTTTTGGCTGTGGGCGTTCAGGGTAAATCGGTGGATACCCTTGGCCAGGAGCTCAATATGCCGGGCAATCAGCTTTTGGCCAAGTTCTTTGATGCCATGAAGCGATGCAATAAGTGCTTTAGATCCATCCTAGAGGAGCACATCGAGGGCGGCATGCTAAACGAGGCCGATCTGTCCACGGGCGAGGAACTGCAGCCGCTGAGCTTGTCCCTCGACAAGGAACTGGATCAAACGGCCCAGAAGCTGAGCAAGCAGCAGCGCAAAGAGCTGAAGCGACTGAAGGCCGAGCAGCTGGACGAGTTCCAGATCAAGGGCAGCGAGGAGGACTGGTCCAAGGCCCTGCAGACCAATGGATCGGCATCGGCGGGCGGTGGCAGCGGGCTGCTCTCCGTCAAGAGGTAAATGTAATTATCAACATGAACCCAGGGTTTCCCAGCGTTAATACTCTCTATCTCTCTCTTTCGTTTTAGTGGCGTCAAGCGCTTGGATGGATTCATAGACCTGCCAGATGACCGGGAACTGACTGCTCCCTTGGCCAAAAAGAAAAAGAAAAACAATCCCAAGCTAAAACGCAATCAGGGCAAGTCCCTGATCTAGATACATTTTTTCTTTTTAGGGGGGAAAAAGAATGTAGTTTTTAATGCTATATAGAAAAGTACATACATTTCGTTATAAGCTCCGTTTAAAAATATAAAAAGAACACTTAAACCAAACTATATCTTGATGGTGGCTGTGCCCACCTTGGCGGCGGCGGCGGCCACCTTGCGGCGCTCTTTCAGATCCTGATAGCTGACACCCGGCTCCTTGTGCGAATTTCGCACATACTTCTTGACCTTGGCCTTCTTTCGGCTAACCGCCTTCGTTGTGGGCAGCATATTGTTGCGCTGCAGCAGATGGAAGCGATCCTTCAGCAGGCTGCTCTCGGTCTTGACGTTGCGCAGATTACCGGCTATATCCTCGGGCAGATTGACATCCACATCGGGCTCCTCGAACTTGTGACGCCCCAGACGCTTCGGCTCGAACTTGGCCTTCTCGGCGCGCTGCTTGCGGCGCTTCTTTAGATCATTAAGGTCCTCCTCCTCGTCGTCCAGCTCGTGGCGAATCGATTTGATGCTTTACGCAAAGGGATTTCCATTGGATCATTGAAATATAAACCCTAATAATGCTACTTACCGTATCAGATCAGCCGTCTGTTGCTTGAGCTTCCTCTTCAGTTCCGTCTGGCGCTGCAGCTCTTTCTGCTTGAGCTCATTGCGGCGTGCCTGCTTGCTCTTCTTCTTGTTCTCCACGGGAGCATTGATCGTGTGATAGGGCTTATCATCGTCATCCTTTTCCGCATTCTCCTGCTCCTCCTCATCCTCGATGCCCTGGCTCATTTCTTGCAAATGACGCTTGTCCCGCTCCTCGGGCGTCACCTTGGCAAACATGCTGGTGGTCACACGCTTCAAATGCTGCTCCTTCTTGATAATGCCCTCCTCACGCTCCACCACCTGCTCGATGAGCGCCTGATGATCCTCGGGCGAGGGATTGTAGCTCATGCCCGGATGTGGAAGCTCGAATTTTCTATAAAATTGTGAGAATAATAATAATATTTTCATGCCACAAATGTCACTTCTTTTCATACTTGGCCCTGGTGGTCTTGTGATGCAGACTGGCATGCGTCTTTACCACCTTCTTGCCAATATTTCCGGCTGTGTGAAGGGCCAAATCCCGACTGATCCAACCCTTTTTGTCCTTTAAGCCCGGTATCGCATCCCGGAAGTCCACCTCCTGCCATATGTCCTTGTCGGCCACAACTTTCTTGCTCTTCTTAGCCTCCAAACGCTGCTCCAGCTTGGTGTAGTACACCGCCCGATCGCTGTTGGCCTGTCGATGACGCGGTTTGGTGGGATTGCACACCTCCAGCTCGATGTTGCGACCGTTTTTCTTCTGCTTCACATGATTGCTGTGTGAATTTCGGAATATATGAGATTATTTTTGCCTGGGAAAGACTCTCAAAGCCCGAACCTACCGCTTTACTATGGGATCCTGCACCTTGGATGTGTTCTCCAATGCCTGATGGCTCCGCATCGGCTTCTGGGCGTTCAGCTTCCTCTTCTGCTTCACACTCAGCACCGTGGTCTTGGCTTTCTGCGGCGTGGCATCCTGCACAAAGAGATCTTCATCCTTTTTGTCCGCAAATGTTCTGTAATTGTATGAGGACTTGTCGTTAGAATCCTGTTTTCTGACATTGTTTTGGTTGCAAACAACTCACCCAATACGCTCCTCCTGGCGCTGGTCTTCGAGGAACTGCTCTACATCCTGGATGTCTGTCTTGCGCCACGCGGACTTGTTCTTTTTCGAGATGCGCTTACGCTTTGTCCCTGGCTCCACGGCAGTCATTTCTCCGGATTATTATTTGAAATGCGGGAGAAACAACAAGTTCCCCACGTGCAATCTTCTGCCGTCGCTTATCAACACTGATTTTCTGGTGTTTTTCAGCACCAATTCAGCTCGAGGGCCAACAGTCTGGCAGCATTCCCCCTGACACAGCAAAGTTTCCCACCTGTTTTACCGTTTCTGGTATTTTCTGGTATTTTGAGATTTGGGAACACTGATTTAACAATTGTTGCGCATAAAATATATGAATAATATAATATTAAATATAATTTAAAAAGGGGAGCTGAGCATAATGAAGCAAACAAGCATTTCCGACGATCTGGCGGTTAAAAGGGCAAGCATCACCGGCAGCCCGTAAATCAAAACACCTCACGCACCGCGACAACAACAACAAAAAAAGCTGCCGGTAAGTTAGGGGGGCAGCGACGCCGGCAGAGGCCGTGGCAGAGCTAAACTGACGTGTACCAAACAAAAAGCGGTAAACAAACGTTTCACCGTTTTGTTGCTATTTTGTGGTTTGTTCTTTATTGCCACAGTGAGCACTCATTTTATTACCCCCTAGAGTTTTGATTACTAAAAATTAAGCCTTGCATTACAACAAAAGGAAAAAAACACCTGTATAGAAATAACCCACTCACTAAAAAAAGCTCAAATAACAGTGTTGACTTTAGCGAGTATTTACTGTATTTCTGTTCTATTTTTTTTTGCAGTTTTCGCTACTCGTTTTCTGTTGTCGCTGATTACGCCGCGTTATCTATTTGGTCTCTGCCGGAATAAATAGTTTAATTTGTTACAAATAGCCAATCGAGACGACAGACGCACTGCAACCGCCAAGATGAGCGCTACTTTCCCCAGTTTCGCGGACATCTCCGCCAAATTCTCCGAGTCAACGCTGGACGAGATCATACGGAATGTGGGCGGTACACATCACACCTCGTACAAGTTCGGGCCGAGTGGCAAGAAGGGCGATGCCTATTTGAGCCGTGTCTTTCGCATAACTATTTATGGCGTCAAAGAGGACAACGGGGAGGAGAAGCCTTTGGAGGTCAGTGTGATTGTGAAGGCCATGCCGGACAATCTCCACCGCCGTCGACTGTTCCGATCGGTGATATTCTTTCGCAATGAGATCCATTTCTACACCAAGGTCATACCGGCCATTGAAGCCTTCCAGAAGTCACGCAAGCCCCAGGCCAAGCATCCCTTTGTGGAGTATCCCAGATGTGTGGCTTCGCTCTGTGATGGAGTCAATGATTTTATTGCCCTGGAGGATGTGGGTCCAAGGGGCTACAGGGCTCCAGTTCGGTGAGTTTTACTAATCGGTAGAAGTTATATGATAAGCATTATACTAGTAAGTTATGTTAGATATAGCCAAAGATGTGCTAAAAAACTGACGTGGCTCTTTTGGGCAAGCTGTATAAATATGTATCTAAGTCATTTGTTTAATCTTTTCATAAAAAAATGTATAGTATTATTTATTTAGTTGGTTTACTCGGTCTAATCATTGGCTTTCTGATAAAGTAATCAATGATAATAGCAAAACTTGGCAGCTTGTAATCTTAGATAAAGGTTTAAAATTGTAAAGTTTTAATTGATTTATTATATATTTTTTATTATATATTTTAAGGAAACAACACATTTTCTATATATTTTTAATCATTTTTAACTGGAAAATTAGCTAGGAAAAGAGTATCTGATTTAGATTCTTATCAAACAAATAGTTTGAAATCAATAATACACTTGTCATTATCAGTCACAGATTAGGATTTTAGAAAAATATATGGTTTTTACCTATTTAGATTTTACACAAAAGAAAATATAACTTTTCTGGCTGATAAGACACTTGCCAAATTGTCATTTAAATGATGATTAAATAAATAATAGAAAAACAATTAATAAAATATAGTAATAAATATAAATATAAATATAAACAAAAAAGAAATATTAATTAACAAATCCTCTTGTTTTACAGCCAGGACTACATTTCTCTGGAGGATGCCCTGCTGACCATGAAAACCCTGGGCCGTTTCCATGGTGTGGCCCTTGCCTTCAATGCCCTCGATCACGAGAACTTTGAAAAGGCAGCCGCTGCCTTGGAGGAGACCTATTATGGCGAACACACCCGGGAGTGGTACACTGGATTCCTGCTGCTGGCCGAGAATGTGGCCAAGGATGCCATAACGCAAATCTATCCGAATAGCAAGTACGAGACCATTGGCGGCAATTTCCTGCAGCCGCCACTCTTCGATGATCTGATCAATCTGGTGTCCACACGCTCCAAGCTGAGTGTCTTTGGGCACGGCGATTGCTGGACCCCCAACTTCCTGACCAAATACGACGAGCAGGGCAAGTCAAAGGAGATCATTATCATTGATTTCCAGCTGGCCAGGTGCTCGTCTCTGGCCCTGGACCTGAGCTTCTTTGTCTACTCGTGCACCAGCCAGGAGCTGAGGGAGCAGCACTATGATACCCTGCTGCGTGCCTATTTGGAGAGTGCCCAGGAGCTTATACGGGATCTGGGTGGCGATGCCGAGGCCATTATTTCATGGGAAACACTGCAGGAGGAGCTGAAGAGTTTCGGACGCTTTGGCTGCGGCATGGGCATTGAATCCCTGCCCATGACCATGATGGAGGACGAGGAGGTGGCCGATTTGGATGGCATTCAGGAGAATGCCATTCTCACGGACATTTGGAATATTACGCCGTTCAAGGAGACCGCCAAGCAACAGCGTCTGGCTGATATCTTCAAGCATGCCATCGATCAGGGCTACATAAAGTAGGGGAGTCCAAGGAACTCCTGCCTGTGAGCACCTTTTTAACGATCAAATCGAATTCTTCTAGTATTGCTGAATTTATCCACGTAACCGCTACGATGCATGTACAAAATAAATAGCTTCAACATTGTTCAAATAACTTTTACTGATTGTTTTTAATAGCAAATTAGAGTTTAGAAGGAACAAATCACTCTAGAAAAGAAATATTTCATTTAATTTCTTCCAAAAAAGAGAACACAATCTTTATAAGGTAGATAACTGATGAATAAAATATGTATATATATAAGGGCATGTATGTACACAGTGCTGGTTGCTGGAGCTAAAGCTTGATCTGCAGCAGGATCCAGGGAACCCAGAATTCCTGTGCTGCCTGCCAGTGGTCACCATTTCAAAGGCACATGCCTTCATGGAGGACACACCAGTGCGGTGTCACCGCATCGGCATGAATGCCGCGGGCCAAAAGTCGCTCGCGGTACCGATAGAATCTCCTTTGGGCCAAAAATGCCGATGATTTTGGATCGGACCACAAACGTTCAGCGGCTGCTCCGGCCCTTGGCCAAATGCGAGATTCTGTAAGAGATGGGCATCATCATTAGTTGTAGATTTTGATCTATTGACCTTAGGCATACACACGTACCCAATGAATTTTGGTCCACATACTCGCTCCACATGCACACCTCGCCACCAAGGACCTGGTCCTTATTCCGGGTCACTGGCAGGCCACTGGAGTAGACAGTCCGCCAGTTGTAATAGGAGGTGCTGCCCCAGAAACCATGATCCAGATACCAGGCATTCTTTGTGGATACTATAAGGCGATAGCCGCGCGTCAATAGCTCCCGGTTGAGGGCATCCGATGAATCCACCCAGGTTTGAATTATAAACCGCTCCTTGGGCAAATAGGCCTCAATGTATTTGGGATTGGTGAGGTGGCTCGACCAGATGATCACCGGCTTGGGCTCCTTAATGTCCGGAAACATGCGCTCGTTAATCTCGTCCCAGGCATTGAGATTCTTCTGATGGAACTGTGACCACAGGCGCAGGAAGCTCTGTTCACTGAGATCGTAGCCCCGCTCCCGCATGCCGTTCCGAATCTCATCGGTGTTATTCCAGCAGGGCAGGAACACCTCATCGCCGCCCATATGCAGGGTTTCCTCCGGTGCTCCCAGCTCAGCAACATCTTCGAAAATCTCCTTCATCACGGCGTACATGTGATCGTTGAGGGGATTCAGTTGTCCGCATGGCGGTTGGACGCAGAATCGTCGCCAGGGTGATTGATTCAGGCACACAGACATGTTGCCCAGACCGGCAGCCGGTCCCCATTGCCATCCATTGCCGGCATGCGATGGCCCATCGATCTCAATGAGAATACGAATACCACGGAGGCGGGCATACTTGACCAGATTGAGTGCATCCTGGCGGGAGTATGTTTGTGACGTGGAGTACGCTCCATAGCGTTGCATTTCCGGCACTCTGGTGATTTCCAGCGGGAAACTATGCGTATCCACCACATGCCAGTGGAGCACATTCATCTTACTGGCCGCCATCGCATCCAACGTACTCCTTAGGAATTTCAGAGGCACAAAGTTTCGAGCCGTGTCCAAGAGAACGCCGCGGTGCGGATAGACTGGACGATCGGTAATATTGGCCGCTGATACCATCAACAGGCCATTGGACACGCTGCCAGCGACCAGATTCGTCAGAGTCTCGAAGGCATGACGTGCTCCGTACACCGTTCCCGCTTGGATGTCCACAAATGTGGCCGTTTCTGTGGTGCGCACCACCAACGCATAGCTCTCATCGGTGGCCCAGTCCAGGATCAAGGTTTCGTTGGCCACCGTGGCCCGAACCAGAATCTGCTTACTGCTCTCCAGCGTACAGTTTCGGGTGCATTCCTTTAGCAGATTTGAGACGAAAAGCCGATTGGTTTCCCTCAAAAATTGGGTAGCCGCCTCGCCGGGAGCCACCACATGGAATCGCACCTTCCACGGATCAAAGCGCACTCGATCGTTGGATATGGTGCACTCCTTACCCGTGGGCATGGGCCAGATGGCTCCATACTTACCGCAGGACAGTCGACAGTCCCGTTGGCTCTCAAAACGTGCGGGATCGTAGTGCACGCCCGGCAGCAGTTCCGACTCCGAGGTACAGATATCCGTGAGACTGCACAGCCACTTTCTGGAGAGGTGAGGAAGGGACACGGTTTGTTGAGATTTAATTATTAATTATTAAATGTAATTATTTTTATATAAAAATATGTTTTATGTTGAATATTATTTTATTATTAAATACTTTGCCTACCTCTCAAATATAAAAAAATAGAAAATATTTTTATTTATTATATTTGTATTTGTATTTTTTCGAGAACAATGGATTGTCAATGAAAGTAATTTAATCGCTTTTGGAACTAAGGCACTGCTTATTTTTTTATATTAAAAAAATTGCACATACAAGCGATAAGACCTTATCTACATATTTCTCTAGAAAGTGCCAGAAAAAGAACTTATGGCATTACTAATAACAAAAAATAGGGAATAACAAATGTTTAAGGTTTAAACACTTTTTTAATTGCTTAATTATTTTTTTGCATGTTTTATAATATAGAATTAAGTAACCCATTAGTTACGAAAGGTATTGGTGTATTCATAATTTAATCCAATATTTTGATATAACGAAATATTTATTATTCCATTTTATATTTCATTATTTTTATCTAAAATTTACAATTCTTAATCAATACAATATTGTATATAAGTATTTACATACGTATATTTTTAAACAAAGACTTTAATAACTGAATGTGAACACAACACAATATGTTGTATTCTTTTTGTATTCTTTTGTATTTAAAAAATTATAGCTTTGTATTATTTTAAATCATTTTTAAAATCTTTGATTTAAAATAATTTCCTTGGTTTTAACATTGTTTTAAAAATCACAAATAAATATAATGAAGATCACAAAACAAAAATATAATAAATCAAAATTGATTCACGTTTGTTTTCTGTTAAGTTTTAGCACATTTAATATTTAAGCATCAGTTTTTTTTTTTAATTTTAAATATTGTTTTTAGTTTAAATATTAATCGATTTAGATTTAACAATGTTTATTTTTTGTATTAACTTGATTAGAAGACAAAAAAACGGATCTATTTAAATATTTTCTCTTGTTTTTCACTGCCTCTTTCGCACTTTCCGCCTACGCTTTTACTTTGCACACAAATTGAGTTTAGTTGGGATGCAATTTCGCATGCTAATTGCATATATAGTTTCGCGAAAGCTACTTTTCTTGACTTTTATCTGTAGATTTTCCTTCGCCTGGCACTTTTCACTTTTAGTTGGACGAGCGGAGACACAAACCTGCTGGCGCTGTTGACGTCGGCTTCATCCGCCCGCGTCAGCGCAGCCCCAACTGCGAAGCAGAGGCAGAGGGAGGCGAAAACGGAGCAATGATAACGGTTGTAGCCGCTGAACCGCATCTTCCTTTCTAAGCGCTCCGCAGCTGCGCCGCTCGCTTTTATTTAGTCATGCAGCGCTCTCGGAAAGCGGAGCAAAACAAAACCGAACCGAACCCAATCGAAAAGGAAACTGACAAATAAAACAAACGAAACTGGGCGAAAATTTCACTTGCAGTTGTGGGCTGTGGGGCGCAACAACAAACGGCGAACCAACGCCGAAGCCGAATTAAAAGCGAAGCTGAGCTTAACGGCAGAATTAAAAAGCGGGGAAGAGAGAGAGAGAGAGCGGATAGCGGTATCGGAGAGCGGGTGGATAACACACAGCGAGAGGCAAATATAGAGAGAGTATGTGTGATAGTTGCACAGGAAAAAACCGGATCCTTTTCAACCGGATATCAGCAGATCTATGCATTAAGAAAGATACAATTTCCGAAATGTATCTAATAGATACATATTTATATTTGGGTGAAGATTAAATATATTAAGTATAAAAGTTTCAACGTTTATTTATATATATATTTTTTTTGGTATATTCGTATTTGTTATTTATAATGTTTAAGTACAAGTATATGAGTAGGTCAAGCTCATTGTAGCTAATATTCATTTCTCCCAGTGCAGGGTAAGAATCAGAATTCCCCCTCGCTCTCTTAGACCCACCGCGCACCCCCTGCTATGTGTGGCCCACATACGGAAATCGTGGGGTGAGTGATAAAATTGAAAAAATATATACAACATGTACAGTAAAAGAACCGCAACGACAATAAAACCATAGGCAACAAAAAACTGCCAGTGAAGTCGAATAAAAAAAAAAAAACGAAATTGAAATGCTCTTTAATTAAAATTATAGATCCGCTCACAAGAAACTGTCATTGACAATTAACGGAAATTTAAATTAATTTGGAAGTCTATAAACTTATTTATTTCCAAGAAATATTTTTCGTATATCTATAGATAAATGTTGGATTTAAAATGGGTAATTTAAACTAAAATGGAGTTATATACACTTGCCAAAAGGTATTATAATTTCGATGAAAGGTTTTGCTGAAATCTAAAATATTTGAAATATTTAAAGTAAATATTTTTGACTTAATTAAATCAATTGAATAGATACGTTGATATGACTTACAGTTTAATTTAAATATTATTTTTTAAATTTTATTAAACAAATCTAATTTTTAAATACTTCAAGAGTATATATATTTATTTGACATTTATATACTTATAAAATTTATCAAAAGACTTTATAAATATTACTTTCCTAAACCTAATTGTCTTATCTCTAGTGATAAACATTGGTTGCCAAAATGACATTATTGCTCAGTTTGGCATATCACAAACACATGCCTAATATCTTGGGTGATTAGCAGAAAAACAAAAAGAAAAACTCGTTGAATAAAGCGTGGCAAAACTAAAATTATTTGATAAGATAAGGCATATTTATTTAATAAACTCTGAATATATATAGGCGGGAACCGAAAAATATAAGTTAGTGGCATGATTGTAAAAAAAACACACCCGCGAACAATACTAGATAATATTTGTATTCAACTTTGTTTCAGATTAAAATTTATTTTGCAATAAAAATTCATTCATTTGTTATCGTTGACTCGTAAGTACATTACGAGACAAGATGGGCTGCACAACGAACTCTTGTAAAGAATTTTAATTGAAAATGTATTAATTAATTAAATAAACAATTTTTAATAATTGTTGTTAGATATAAATACTAGGTAAGAGCGTAGTTCTTAGCGTTAATTTTTCGTTAGAGTTTTACATTCTTTTAATATCCTTTTTTAACAATAATTCTTTTGCTTAGTTTTGTCAACGAATATTCCTTGTTTTTTACCTTTTCTTAAACTTGTTTTTCTGTGATTTAATAATATAATTGTTTACATACCAAAAATGTCCTCTTTTCAAGCTAACTGAAATGATATTGTCTTCCTTAATAACTGCGAAACGCACTGTATTTGCACCCTCATTATTATTTTGATAAAATGCTGGAGCAAGTTGAAAAATATTAAAAAAGAAAATAATATTTGTGTGTGTGTGAGTGACTGGGCATTGTTGATTATTATTTTATTGTATTCGGCATTCACACATCTAGTTCTTATTGCTGCCCAGGCCTCGCCCTACCTCTCTGACTCTGCCTCTCCGTTGTTTTCTCTTTTTTTTTTTATTAATAATATGTATTATTATGTGGTCGCTGGCTTGGATTCCAATTCCATTTCCATTCCCACTACCATTTTATTTCCATGGGCGCCTTTTGTGCGCCTTCCAAATGAATTTTGAATTATGCGATAGCGCCGCCTTCGTCCATTGTGTGTGTGTGTTGTTCTTGTTTTATTTTCTTTTTTTTTATTATTATTATTTGTTGTTTTTGCACCCATTGTTGTTGCCTGTGAGCATGTGTGTGGGCTGGGTGTCTGGGTGTGTGTGTGTGTTTAGAATGTAAAATTATAATAATTAAAAAGGAACGTGCAATGATTTTATGGGAAGATTGAGATGAATGTACCTGTAGCGATAGTTTTAAATTAAAATATATAATTCTTAAAAACTCTCCATGAATTAAATCTTAATATTTTTAATATAAAATATATTAAATAATAATTTTAACTAGAAAACTCTTCTAGGTTATGCTTCCATAGGAATACATTTTAAACCTTAACTCAACTCAACTTAATACTTAATTCCCCTCAAATATTTGTCTAAAACTCACATCTTTAGGGGGCCTTACACATGTGAGCAGGGCAAATGAGTTTTGCCCAACTCTCGGACAACAGGTCCTGAACGGGAATTTGCAGTATGGGAAAGGAAGGAACAGAAAGGACCAGAGCCAGGATCTGGAACGGGCAGAAGATATGGGAATGGCAAGGCAGTGGTAGTAGTAGCATCATGATGAGTAGCAGCTGCAGCTGCTCATCCTTTCTGACTAGGCGCCTCCTGTCGCTCCAGGACAATGCAGATGCACAGATGCAAGGCCTGATACACTGAAACCAAAACTGAGGCAAATTGAAACACAAATTTATTAGGAAATGAATTTTTTTTTTAAATAATAAGGAAAATTCGAATACTAAATATTCTATATACATAGTATGCATTTGTTATTATATTTTAGTATATATTTGTTGTATTATATTTCTTAATTAATTATTTTTTTAATTGTGGAAAAAAAGGGTTGCGGGAAAGGGGGGTCGAGCCCAGCGCGTCGCCACTGATTATGATGTTGATTACATTGTGGCTGCATCTCATGCCGCCTTCTCCATTGGTCACGCCCATTTCGCCCAAGCCCTTTTTCTACACTGAACAAAAAAAGGGGATAGAATGTAGAATAATTCAAAATAAAAATTTTTAATAATTATTTAAATTAAATGTTGGGTATTTTATTGAGTTATTTATAAAACAAATAGTGTAAATAATATTTTAAAATTAAAAACAAAATGTAACATACTGGCTCTTGCTGCTAGAATTCTCAACTTTCGATTTAGGAGGCTAAGGTTGATCTGCAAATGGATGGAACATTAGGATCCAGTGTACTTTTAACACAAAAGTCTAGTTGTAATTTATTTTTTATGATCCACAAACATACTCTTTTTTTTTCTATGCATGATTTAGAACCGGTTGCAGATCCTGGGTCCCTCAGACATGGGTCCTTCATTCAGATTCCATCAGTCACCGCTGACTGCCCTTCCAGCCCCCGCCCCCGCCCCCGCTGCAATGCGGCTGCTTAGAACAATGCAAGATTAAAAAACTGTAACAAATTACAAGCAAAACGGCAAATAAATTACACAAAAAACGGAGAGATGCAAATAAAAAAAAAAAAATGAAATCAGCAGAGAGGAGAGAGATTGTAACAAAAACCAAGCGCAAAAAGTTGCAGCTACCAATAGGGGGAGAAATGTGAGGAGAAACGTGGCTGAGGTCAGCGGACCTGGGACTTGTCATGGGATTCTCTTGGTGTAAAGGGGAGGGGGGGAGGGTGGATCTGTAAGTGAAGGAGGAGCTGCATATGTGGAAATGCAAAGTTAAAGGAAAAGTTAATTTGTGCTTTGTGCTTCGAAAAAAGGGGCTGAAGAAGAGCATCTTTTATTTAATTTTTATGTTAACTAGAGGTTTTTATTAAGTTAAAAAAAAATAACTAATTTAAATAAAAAATTTTATGATGTATATGTATGTATGAATAATAAATATTTTAAGCTTATTGTATAAAACTAGAAAGGAAGGAAACTTCGATTTGCAATTGGAAATTGTTCATTTCTAAGCCAAAATTGCATTAATTTTGATTTTTGTCTTGGTTTCCATTAGATTAACAAACCCGCATATAGAGTTTAAAATTAAAAAAAAAAAATAAATAAATAAACAAATGTTAAATTTTACAATTTTTAAATATTTTTTTTCTCAATTATTATTTAAATGGTATTTTATTGGCGATTTTGAATGTAGTTGATTTTTTGAAATCACTAGTTTTTTTTTTTTTTTTTTGCATCTTATGACTTTCAGAAACCTTAAATATTTGCATTTCTTCTATGGATATTTATAAAAAATTTTATATGACAAATAATTTATATTCAAATTAAGCTTTTCCATGTGCTGAAAAAGTTTTCAATTTTATTTTTGGCAATTTTAATAATATAAAATTTAAAAATATATATATTAGTATCTATTTTTTAATGTGAACACGACTCAGATAAAGCTGATTAAGAGTATATATGGTATATAGAGTCAGAAATGACTTCCAACTGAAATTATAATACCCTAAAATGCTTTAAATACCATAAGCTTTCCCTTTATAGGGTATACAAAAGTCGTTTTCATGCGGGGTGGCCATTTCCTTGAATATGCCTTTCTTTCGTTCCTTTTTTTATTTGCTTTTTTATTGTTTGCGATGGGCACAGGTGGCTGACTACTAAACGTTTGGCCCTGGAACTGGGCAATGCGAGTGGTGAGGTGAATAGAGGAACCATCGTCGAAGTGATCGGAAGTGGATGAGGTTTATTCCGATGTTGTTGTTGCTGTTGTTGTCTTCGTCGGGGGGAAGGGAGAGGCCGCCGTCGAACAATGCAAATTGCATGAATGAATGCCATTTTGCATTTCATTTCAATGCCCACCCACCACCCCCTGGGCCAGCGAATGGCATTGGTGAACCTGAACCCGGGACCACTGCACTGCATTCTGTTTTTCTTTTGATTAAATCAAATGCATAAAATGTTTTCAATTCAATCAGAAAAAAAGAAAACCCAACGGCAGCAAAAGCAAGAACAAATGATTAGAGACAAGCCTTCGGATAGTGGGACACTTTAAATACCCTTTCTTTTATAAGAATTACTAGAAATTGGTACCTTGGGGTTAGGAGTATTGTGAATATTAATTAACTCTAAATATTTGTTGTTAATAAGAAGTATTTTATATTTTTAGTTAATAAAAAAACCTCTTTCTACCCATTTGAATAGAAAGTGTTTGAATTTTAATTTAATAAACAATTTTACTACCATTTTAAAATATTATTAATTGTGAAATTGTTTGAATTTAATTACTAGCTTTTACATTTAATATTTTATATTTATTTAAATATTCATTAATCTTTTTTTAATATAAAATTTGCAATATAATGTATATTTTTTATTTTATTTATTTCCAAAAATATTTTATATAATTACGTTTTCCTAAGGTCTTGTTTTCATTGCAAATTCTAATCATTAATGCCACCTGTCGATATCTTGGGCAATAAGAAAACAACAGGCAAAATTTCGCTATTAGGTTTACCAGGTCTAAGTTCCTGATTTCATTAGAATTTAATTAATTTGAATTTGATTACGGACAGCCAGGTTTCCCTGAATAAGGTCACTTAATTTAGCATAAAATGTGTTTCATTTCCAAAGAAAGGTGGAAATAAAGTCTCTGGGCAAATCCCTTATAACCTAAATTTAAATAATAATAATTTAAAAGTCAAAAAGACTCTGAAAATCAATAATATCTTTAATAAAAGGGCAAAATGTATATGCAAAAAAATAAAGAAAAAAGGAGAGTGAGTGCAGAAATGAGAAGAGAATCGAATGCACAGTCGTCCATTCTTTTTCTTGTTGGTTTTGGATTTTTTTTTTTAATTTGTGCAAAGTTTTCTGCCTGTTTTTTTCACACACATGTGGTCTTTTTTTATGTTGCCAGCACGAGTGTGTGTGTGAATCTAGCTTTTTAATTAATTGCACTAACATTGCCCACAGCAACCAAAAGCCACCTCATACCACACTCCTACTCGCCCCTCTTTCACCCCTTTTTGTTAAGCTGTTTTTGTCGTTCTTTTTTTTTCAATTTTTTGTTTTGTTTTTTGATTTGATAATCCCAACAATTGTTGTTCAAGTTCAAGGCCCTCCGAATGCTCTTTGATTCGTGAATTAACTTTGCCCGCTTGTTTTGTTTTATTTGTAGCTTTTTTTGATTTCGTTTTGATTTATTTTTGATGGCTATATACTAGTCGTATGTGATGACCATTTAATGGGTTAAATATCTAATTGGGTTTAAGATTAAACACTAATTTCTTTAGCTTATTGGTAATTTTAGTTTGTATTTTGAAATTATAATATATATCAAATATAATTTATTTTCAATGCCTTGAAACAAATATGAAACAGCATACTCTCTACATTGTAGTTGTAGTTGGAAATCTATTCAACTCAATTTATAGTACAAGTCTATAGTTTTATTACATTTTAAAATTATTTTCTAATTGATATATCTTGGTCAAGTCAAACAAAACTTGTTTAGGTAAATTTTGAATTCAAATTTTATGTGTCCTTTTGTATACGTTTTTTTTCTAGAATTTCCTTGATGCTGCTGCGCGCTGTGATGTCACCCCTAAATGCCTCCCAAAAACCCCCAACTATTGCCGTGTCTTTGTCTCTGTCTCTCATTGGAAGGCGCCAACATAATCAGGATAACAAATGAGATCCTTGTCGACAGTTGTTTGCTGCTTTTGTGTCAGTGGCATCGTCATCATCATCATCATCATCATCATCATCATCATCATCACAATGGTGGTGCTCCTGTCAACGTCTCTTTCTGCTTTTCTGCCTGACGCTCTACATTGTTATTGTTATTATTTTTGCTGCCTTTATGCAATGTTTTGATTAATTTTTGCCGCAGCCATCTTGGGTCTCCCCCTCCTTGTTCACCACCCCTGAACCCGCACCACTAACCCAAAAGACCCCTCCCATCCCCCGCGCGTGCATTTGCTTGACTGCATTTTCCTAGCTGCCTCTGACTCTGGCTCTTGTCTGCACTCAGCAAAAAAAAAAACTAAGTATTTAAGGGAGAACAATTTTAAATATTCAAAAGCGAACGAAAGAGTTTTCTTGATTGAACTATAAGATTTCCCATTTTCCCCCCCAGAAAATCCTATCCAAGTAACCTGGAATGAAATGTGCTTTTTGAAAAAAGCCTTCTTCTAGTAGGCCTTGGCTGAAATTTCTGTGCTTAGGTTAATACAAACAAGGCTTAGATCATTCCCACATTGTATCGCCAAGTATAAACATCAGCTCTCTCTCTCTCCAGTGAATAATTTTACTACATTTTCTACTCGAACAAGTTAAACCCCGTTTTTGAATTTACAAAAAAAAACCATGGATCCTAAAGTCTCGTTTTCTGACCTCTCCGATGGAAGCGGAAGGCGTGGTTAGTCCAAATTTTGTATCTCCGATCTAGTCAAAATTTTAATCTGCGTTTTTTACTTGTATAACCCTGCAGGTGACCGGGCTCTGAAAACTTGTGGCCGCTCGGTGGGCAAGTTGCATGAGGAGATCACGCGACTAAGAAAGGAAAACTTTCATCTGAAACTGGTCAACTATGAATTAGAGGAGACTAAGCGTCGCTGCCAAGGAACTGTTATGCTGCCTTCCGACGATTCTTTCAAGATCAAAGAACTCGAGGATGAGCTGCGAGAAACACTACGAACGCTTAAAGTGCTGCGCAAAGAAAGCTCCAATCTCAAAAAGAAAATGTCTCAGCTGCACGATTACGAGTCGGACAATAAAAGATTAACCGAAGCCCTCTTGGAGAAGAATGTGTTGCTAAAGGACGCAGCCATGATAATATCAAAACTTGAGGACCATAATTACAAAACTGATAGCTTTGTGGATGGAGTCAAAAAGCTGACAAGGGACTATGATGTAAGTTTAGGGTACAAAGGTCATTATAATGACAGATATATTTTAAATATATTTGATCTGCCAAGCGATTAAAATTCTATCTATCTATTCACATATCTATATCTATCCTATCTATCCTATCTATCCTATCTATCCTATCTATTCTATCTATCCTATCTATCCTATCTATCCTATCTATCCTATCTATCCTATCTATCCTATCTATCCTATCTATCCTATCTATCCTATCTATCCTATCTATCATATCTATCATATCTATCCTATCTATCCTATCTATCCTATCTATCCTATCTATCCTATCTATCTTATCTATCTTATCTATCTTATCTATCCTATCTATCATATCTATCATATCTATCATATCTATCATATCTATCATATCTATTCTATCTATTCTATCTATTCTATCTATTCTATCTATTCTATCTATTCTATCTATTCTATCTATTCTATCTATTCTATCTATTCTATCTATTCTATCTATTCTATCTATTCTATCTATTCTATCTATTCTATCTATTCTATCTATTCTATCTATTCTATCTATTCTATCTATTCTATCTATTCTATCTATTCTATCTATTCTATCTATTCTATCTATTCTATCTATTCTATCTATTCTATCTATTCTATCTATTCTATCTATTCTATCTATTCTATCTATTCTATCTATTCTATCTATTCTATCTATTCTATCTATTCTATCTATTCTATCTATTCTATCTATTCTATCTATTCTATCTATTCTATCTATTCTATCTATTCTATCTATTCTATCTATTCTATCTATTCTATCTATTCTATCTATTCTATCTATTCTATCTATTCTATCTATTCTATCTATTCTATCTATTCTATCTATTCTATCTATTCTATCTATTCTATCTATTCTATCTATTCTATCTATTCTATCTATCAATTCTATCTATCGTAACTATCAATTCTATCCTAACTATCAATTCTAACCTAACTATCAATTCTATCCTAACTATCAATTCTATCCTAACTATCAATTATATCCTATCTATCGATTCTATCGATCTATCTATCTACAATAAGGTGCTTATCGATAACTTTATAGCAAATAAGTCATACTAAGGCGCTTAAAATAATTAGATTTTTACACTAGTTAAAATTTTTCAAAAAAAATCAAAAACTAAAAAAATCCAAATTTCTTACTGTGCATTTGCTGGGGCAAGAAGGAAAATACGACAGAAAGGAGGGGGGGCGGAAGGCCTGCTTCCGACTGGTGCTGATGATGGGCGTGGAGTAGGCGTGGCTGTTTTGTTTAGTAGTTTTATGGTCTCAACTCGCGGTAAACAATGAAAAATCCTGTCGCTGTTCATTGTCTCGAGTCGAAAAACTTGCGAGACGAGAACAAAAATACGGAAAATGTGGTAAAAAGGGTGAGGAAGTAAATAAAAAACGAGAGACACGAGATACAACAACAAAAACAAGACTCGAAATATATGGGAACTTCACTTTACAAATATTTAATAAATCAAAATGGCGGCTTGGAAAAGTAAATTAAGTTTAAATAATTTTAATTTTAATATATAACTATTTTATAATTTGTATAAGTATCTAAACAAATGATTTAATTAAATTAAAATATTCCCATTCATCCGCTAAGGCAAAATATATTTTCCGCCCCCCTTTTTATTTTGGCCAATAAATTTTCGGCTCATCGCAACTCAATCAAAATCGAAATCAGAAATCTGAATCAAAATTGTAAACAAAATGCATTTGCATTATTGCACTTTTCGAATGCAGGCTGCCGAGAGAGGCAAAGTGGCGCGGCAATGCAAATGCAATCAATATAATTGATGCAACATCCGATTCTGCGGCTTCCAGTTTCCGCTTCCCCTTCCCCTTCGCCTCGACCTATTTCCATTGAGACAACCAGCAAAAAATGAAAAGGATCTATAAATATATATATATATATATATATTTGTATATGTGGATGCATTTATAATATTTTAATAATTTACAAAATTGATTTTGATCAAAATGAATGCGAATAATTGCTTGGCCTTTGACAAAGAAATCATTTTATTTACCTCAAAAGCTGAAATATTATTCAAAATAAGTTATTATACTTGAATATCTTATGCTTAGTTAGTTTATTAATATTTTATCCTAGAAAATTTGCCATAAAATGAATATAAAATATAATTAGACAGATTAGAAAGTTATATTATTATAACAATATTTTATATAAAAAATAAAGTTATACAACAATGTTTAACATTTTCCATTTAACATATTTTACACCCTTGCCCAAGTTGTACTTTTCCGTTAAGAAAATAAAAATGTCAGCACAGCAACGCCCCTCAAACCAACTTAGCCCGATGCAATTTTCTTTTGTCATATGTCATATCTCACTTTGCACCACCCCCTTCATGCCAGCTTTTCCCCCATTTTCCACATTCTCCTGCTGCATTTGGCATGTGGCAAATTAGCGCTCAATGTTAACATTTGCCCACATTGTTGCGTTGTGTTAATGCATTTTAATTTTCCTTTGCATTATGATTGACAGGAGGAGCGAAAGCGATGGTAAATAAAAAAGGAGAGCGAGTGGCACACACACACACACACACAAGGCGCTACAGTTGCGACAGGATCAGAAGGATACAAGGCGGAGCGAACATACAATTTCACAAGACGGAAAGTTCACACTCCCCAGGAGTTGTTCTACCAAAAGTAAATATCATAAAAAAAAACAACTGCAGAAATTCTCAAAAAAAAAAATTAAATTCCATAGAATTAAGTTATGATTATAATAATGTTGCTGCAAAAAAAAAAAGAAGAAATTTAAAAAGTACAAAAAAATTAATTTCATGGAGAAAAGTAGCCACAACAAAGTTATATTTCATTTTAAATCAGAAAAATCCGAAAAAAATATATAAAATTGATATTCTATAAAAATCGTATATAATATATATATATATAGATATATCAAATTTCTTTAAAAAAATTTAAAATGTAAAAATTAATAAAAACAAGTGAATTGTCCATCTTGTTACATTTAAAACTCATCAAAATTGTGAACAATAGTTTTATTAGCATTTATACAACAAATTGTCAAACACACAAAAAAAAAATATATATAAAATATATTATAAAATCGTAAACATTACACTTTGGGGTATGCTTTTCTTTTTTCAAATAATAGTTTGTATTTTAAAATATTTTTTTATTATCTCTTAATACACTAATAAATCCTGTAGCCCATCTTAAGATCGCATTGGCCTGATGATGTTTTCCTACTGCTGCTGCTGCTGCTGTTTTTTTTTTAATTACTTTTTTTTCCAACTCATTTTCTTTTGTGAAATGCAACGGGGCTCTGACTGATGCCAAGTCCTTGCTGGTTGAGTTGAGTTCCAGGATGCAGTGGTTTGTCGTCCTCGCCGTCATCGCTGCTGCTGCTGCTGCTGTTGATGTTGATGTTGATGTTGCTGTTGTTTTTGCTTCGCTGCATTTTCAGCATAAATTCAGTTTCATCATCCTGTTCTCCTCCAAAGAACACTGAAATAAAAGAGCACTTAAAATAGTTAGGAAACCCTACATAAAATAATTTAAAAGGAATTTATAAAATACATACAATATATTGTTTATCGCACCTATAACTAACAATATATGTATATAAACAACCCGTAAATAATAATTATTTTAAGCCTTGTCAAAACTTCCTTCGCGAGCCCCAAAAAGTAGGCAATAAAATTGGCAGATATGGTACAACATGGCGTATGAGTAATTTTTATAATAAAATTATATAGAATGTTATTTGGGAGACTTAAAAATAACTGCTAAATAAAACTATTACTTTATTAAAGAACTTGTTTTATAAAATAACTAGCAATATTTTTGGTTATGCATTTTTTTTTATCTCGTTTTAGCTCATCTCCACTGACAGACAGCTGTCATGGGCGCCTACGAAGCCTCCCTCTCTGCCAGCCACCTCTTTTGGTATTTTTCACATTTTTCACTCCCCTGTCCCCCTGCGCACCTCTGACGTCCCTTCAGGTCCCTTCCCCCTCCCCCCTCAGGCAAAATGACATTGTGACTATGCAATTAGTATTATGAGAAATATTTTCTCATGTTGTTTCAACATTTTTTTTTTTTCAGCATTTCCCCCATTTTCCCACTGAGAAGGCGCCTAGACCACGCCCCCTTTTAGTCATCCCCTAGTTCCCGCCAGCACGGTGTGCTTTTGTGTGGCGCTGATTATAATTTTTGTGTTTTTCTTCTTCTGTTTTGTTGTTGTTTTTTTTTGCACCCTCTCTGGCGTGCAAAAAATGTAATTAACTTAATGATTTTCATAAGCGAGTGCCGCCGCCAGGTGGATGCAGGGGCGGTTGGGAGGGCAGACCAGCATTATTGGGGCAATTAAAATGATTACAAAATGCAACAGAGAGAGAGAGGGTTAAGAAATAAAGAAAATATTAAATAAATAGCAGCGTGCGACTGTTAATATTTCTGGGCCTAGTTTTATGCGTAATTAATATGCTTATGGCATTGAAAAAAAAAAAAAAAACGAAACAAAACAAAAAGATAACTCAACCTCCTCAATTTTTGCACCGCCCTTTGTTATCCTTTTGGTTTCGCGCCAGGACATGCCCAAGTTGCAGCCAGCGGGTTTTCTTTTTTTTTGTCCCTGTTCCCTGTTTTGTCTGTTGTTTTGCCTTTCTTTTTCTCCCTCTCAAAATTGTTGTTCTGCTGTACACCGGCATTGACAAATCATAATTAAAAATTCCAATTAACTAGCGTCTTTGGCGGCAAGGAGAGGCAACAGAAACAACAACAAAATGCACAAAAAACCACCTAAAAACCTCCCGAATCCACCCACTAACGTCATCATCATTTCTTCCGCCGCAGGGAGTTTCGTTTTATTTCGTCTCAACTTCATTGTATATTATTCAACTGAATATTTGGAAATTGATTCCATCATCCACAACATCCTGTTCGTTTTCATCAGCTTTGTTGGCATTTTAGAGAGATTTTCTTGGCGACGGAAATCTAAGTCATATTGTTTGTATTTCTATCTTTAAGCTCTGAAAAAATTTATTGATAGATTAACAAGTTTTTAAATTGTTGTACTATTTCTTGGTTTATTTTAATTAATAATTATATGTTTATTGCATTATTATACAGCCTTTTAATATCTGCTGTTAGTTTTTATTGTTTTACTAAATTTTGAGCTTCCTTATTGTTTACAATAAATTCTTATTCAACTTATTTTTAAACTGTTTCAGCAACAGGAAATATTGAATTTATTTTATTTTTTTATTTAGAATAATTTTTGTTTTAAAAAAATATATAAAGTAAGCTAAAAACAGTAAATGAAAACAAAATAAAGGATCATAAAAAAATAGAAGCTAGCTGTGCGTGTGACTTATTTTTAGTTCCAAAAGAATATAAATATTCTAAAAATGCTAAAAAATATTATAAAAAAACCAAATAATTACTAAGAAATAATGATTGCAGAAATTATAAAGCATACGCACGTGTTAACAGACAAGAACTTTCATTATTACTTAGTCAACTCAAATTTACAAAGATTTACAATACGAGCTTATAAAAATAATTTGATTAAATTATAGAAAAATTTAAAAATTTCGTAAAATATGTAAATATAATCAATTTGGTACAAAAAGTACATACATTTTTTTACTTTTATTAAAAGAAATTAAATATAAGCGGCTAAAAGTTGGGGAAAAAAGCATTGCCTACTTTAGAGCGTCAAATATGACGAGACGCCATTTTGCTTTTGCTCGTTGGCTTATTTTGTCTGCGACATATTGAATCAAACTAGAAAAGTTGCCAAATTCAGCAAATAGAAGATTCGATACCCTTTTCTATGGTAGCGATAATATATAAAAAGTTTAAAACTTATTATCAAAAATGTAGATTTCTATGGTAACTATATTATATCAAAAATATTAATATATAATACAGCTATTCAGATCACCTCTACTTATATAACACCTGCAATAGATATCAGAGTATTGAAAAAGTTTCATTTGAAAAGCTTACGTAGAAACTAACACAACGGTAACGGCTAGATCGACTAGGCTGCTGATCAAGAATGTTTATAATTTTATAGGCTCTGACTGCTGACTTCCTCATAAAATTATAATCTCTCTGCAAGGGTATAAAAAGATGTAAATAAAAGGCAACATGGAGGGGAAAGGAGAGAACAACAACGAGTGGCGGAAGAAGAGGAGCGCGCTAAAATAAATAATTAACAACGGCAGCAGAATGCGAGAGAGCGAGAAGCTAGACAACAATGGAGCTCACTCGCTCACCCACACCTACAGACGCACACACACACACACACGCTCAGAGAGACTCGCACACACGGGCAAAGTGAAAGACCAATCAGCGCGACAAAACAATGGACACACACACACGTGCACAGCTAGCAAGAGCATGAAAGACGGAGAGAGTGAGGGAGAGAACGAGATAGAGAGAGAAAGAGAGAGGATAAGTGGGTGGGAAAACTCCTCGCTCAGGTGGAATACGCGTTGCCTAATGAATTCCAACAACAACAGCAACAAGAAACAACAAGGCGAAACAACAACAAGCGCATAACAGCCTGGCATCAAATTACAAAATTAAAAATGGCGCCGAGGGAATGCCAGGAAGAAAGAGACAACCGAGAGCAGGAGAAAGAGAAGATGAAGTATTATAAGGCAGGAGCAGAAGAACGTGGCAAAAATAATTTATAAATAATTTTAATTTAAATCTGTATGTCTAAAGTTTAAACATTTTTTTAATTTAATAATTTATGTTAATGTTATTTTAATATAGATCAAATAGATATGTATTATAGGCAAACTTTCTATTTCTTTCCTATTCATTCGCCGATCAAATATATGCCACTTTTATGATATATGGATATTCATAAAGAAAGATGAAAAAGAGAAGAGAAAGGTAGATAGATAGATAGATATAACTAAAAAACTAGTTTGCGGAACGTTAATTAAAAAACAAAAACTTTTGAACTTAAACAAATAAGGCGTAACCTATAGTTAAAGAATAAAAAACATTAAAAGAAATTAAATAAGGTGCTAAAATTAAAAATTATAATATTAATTAAATATTTTTAAGAGGAATTTTATTGTAAACTATTACCTTTTCGATTTAATGAAAACATTATTGATTTTGATCCATAACACATATGCTTTATAAGGCCGGAAATAGCTTCTTTATGAAAAAATTAACAATTATAAAATATTTGCATAAGGATAAATATGATAATAAAAAATAATACATATTCATAATTAATTTTAGCTTGTTAAACTTTTGTTCTCACTGAAATTTCTTTATACCCAAAATTGTTTTGTTTATAATTATAGATGTACATATGTAAATCAATATTCAAAATATAATACCAAAGTCTTAAACCTTTTCAAACTTTCAAATAATTACTTAAAGATATATCTGAAAAGTTTCTAAACTGCAAAGAGCAAGGAAGCTGGTATTCTGCAACAAACTTGACGTAATTTGAATGAGCCTGTCAACGTCACGACTCGTCAGGTCCTTATTCCTGTTATCCCGCTACACCCTCCTCACACAAACACTCTTCCCCCACTCACACACATGCATTAGCAGCAGCAACACCAACACCAGCACTCACACAAGGACATCTGGTCTCGCTTATGATTGGCCTGTGTGCCAAATGGGAAGCAAATGAAATAAAGCAACCGACAAAAGCAATGGCAGGTGGCGAACGAGGGGGTGGCGCCAGGGGGTGGGCCACGCCTATTCTTCATAAATAATAAATAAATATAATTTCCAGCGCAAGCGCAGCGCAAAAAAAGAAGCAAAGCAAGCCAAAAACAAAACACAATGCCAAGCAAATGAGAAAATTACATCCCTTCATTTGTTTAACACACACACACACACACACCGGGAGAGGGAGAAACAAGGCATTGAGAAGCAATGCCTTGTTTCTCCCTCTCTCTTCCGCTCCCTTCTCCCCTGCTCCTGCACCTGCGTCTTCTTCATCATCAGCTGTGGTGGCAACCTCATTTCCTCCTGCGCCCTTTTGTCCTCCTTGTACGTGAGTGTGTGTGTGGAGGGTGTTGCCTTATTGTTATTGTTCCGCTGCTGCAGTTGACGTCGCTGCCAGCGTCTCTGCCGGCAGCATTAAGTGATTTGAATTTTATTATTTACACAGGTACATTTCATATACAAAACAGAACGGATACCGTGGCACCATATCCATAGGAAAGGGAAATATGTGAACATTTTTAAATATTTTTTGGTAATGTATTTTAGCTGTGGCTTGCCTTTCACTATAATTCCCAACTGGTTATAGTTGTGAACTAGCTAAAGCCAAGTTCATTCTCATTTGAATAGGTGAGCGGGGACTGTAGAGAAGGCGGATGTCCCTTTGAGGGCCTCAGTTATAAGGAGAGGTAAGTTTATTTTTATTATTTTTTTATTAGTAGAAGAGGAAGATTATAAACTAAACATGAGAATAAAGTTTTAAACAACAAAACATTAAATACAAAAGCCGAATTTGGTTTTGTGTTAAATAAATTATAATTAAATTTTATAAATTCAGGACACCGTTAGCTTCGCAGAAATGCATACAACCGCAGTGCACCGTATTCCTCCCTTTCTCTCTCTCACACACACACACACAAGGACGAAAACAACGCTTATGAGGTTTTTGTGCTTGTGCCGTAATTTAACGAAGTCAAAACGAGAAAACAATAAGCAAGCCGAACAGCGGCAAAAACAAAGCCAGGCGGCAGCCGAATGCGAAACGAGAGAGGCAACAACACACAGCAGGCAGCGTGGAAGAGCAAGCGAGAAGGCGAGAGCCCAGCATTCGGAGGCTGCGCAACGTTAGAGAAAGATGGCAGCAGCAAGCGAGAGCAGGAAAGAGCGACTTAACAGTGACTTGCCGAGTTAATTGCAAAATATAAATAAAATGTATCCCTTAAATATGATTAATAATTGAAAATATAAAAAAAAAAATAAATTAAAAAAAAATACAGTGGAGTCTCGATATAATTTATGATATTTATAAATATAACATTTCCCCACAATCAACAAGTAATTCCTTAAAAACTCTGATTAGCTTTGGGTGTCGGGTGAGTGTGTGTATGTGTATGGGAAGACTCTAATTACGCTAAACTGTAAATGGACGAGTCGCACACATACACAGGCGCACACTCACATCTGCATACATATATATTAGCCAGAATCCTTTATAAAAGCCACAGGATGCTGCCCGCAGTTTCACAGTCGCTGGCCGAACGCCCAGCAAAAAGGAACTCTGTCTCTCTGGCAGCAGGATACTCTTTTAAGCTCACGAAGCAATTTTTTTTCATAAGTGGCGCCAACTGCCGGTGATTCGAAACTAAAGTTTTGAGAATTAAGTTTCGAAAAATAAAAAATAAATACAGAAACACCTTTTTTTGTTCAGTGCAAAGTGAGTGTAAAACTGGAAATTAGTAATGTGTGTATTAATACATACATTAACCAAAAATAAAAACTTTTTTTTAATAACAGTATATAAAAATAAATAATATTGAAACAATAGAAAAATGTTGAATAACAGAATAATTAAACATATAAAAATAAGTTTAAAGCAATAAAAATTCAAAAATGTAAGCAAAACAAGTTATGATCAATCTAAACAAATAAGTAATAAGAGAATAAATTATTTTTTTAATTTAACTAACTTCACAATTGAAAAATATTGGATATGTACATGAATAAAAAAACTAAATACTCTTGAAGAAATATAGTTATATACCTTTTTTTAATGAAATTCAAGTTATGATTAACTTCTATTTGTAAAATAATAATACAACTATATATACACAAAATTATAAAAACAAAAACTAATTTTAACAACTTTTTCTTTACCAAAAATAAAGCTTTAAGAAACACTCATTCAAGAAGACAACATTTTTAAATAAATAATAAACGAATTGAAGGAGAAATACCCAATTCAAATCACAAAAAAATATAACAAATACAAGGTAATAAACTTACTTGACTGAAAAATACAATAAAATGATTAATACTTATGTTGAACCCACAACAAATTTAATTTTCTAAAAAAAAATAATAGCACAAAAAATAATGGCTGGTCCATTCATATCGCCGCTGCCCGGCGATTTGCTAACGGAGTACATGTTTGGCCGGAGACGTCAACGCCGGAACCGGACGACCTTCACGCCCCAGCAGCTGCAGGAGCTAGAGGCCCTGTTCCAAAAGACCCACTATCCGGACGTCTTCCTGCGCGAGGAGGTTGCCCTGCGGATCAGCCTCAGTGAGGCGCGCGTTCAGGTGAATGCTTTTGAGGCGAAGAGCAGGCAAAGTATCCAACCAGTTGGAGAGGCCGCAATTATTCCACTTGCAAAATATTACCATCTTCATTTCGTAGCATACTTTTCAGGTCCTCTTGGTCCCATGGTTGTTTTTAATATTTGTACATTATTATCCGCAGGTTTGGTTCCAGAATCGACGAGCCAAATGGCGCAAGCAGGCGAGGTTGCAACTGCTCCAGGACGCCTGGCGGATGCGCTGCCTCAGCCTGGGCACGCCCCCCGTAATGGGTGGCGGCGCGGCAACAGGAGCGGGACCAACACCTGGAGCTGGCAATCGACCGGGCAGCCAAGCGCCCGAGAATCTATCTGCCGGCAAGGATTCCGACATGACGGAGGTGAACAATGGACACAGCCCAGGCAGCTTCACCATGATGCATCCGGCATTCCAGCAGCACCAGCAGCAGCAACAGCAGCAGCAGGGTCAAGGGCAAGGACAAGGTCAGGACCAGGAGAAGCTATCGAAGACCTACACGGAACTGAAGCTCTACAAGGCACCGGGCCACGCCCAGATGGAGCTGGGCGGAATGGCCGCCCTATCCGGGCACTCCGATGAAGGATCCGACGGCTCTGACTCCGAGGAGATTGATCTCACCTCCGGCGCCTGCATTGACTTCTCCCAGAGCAGCAAACTTCAACAGCAGCAGCAAGGAGCTGCGGGGGCAGCGGCAGCGGCGGCGAACGGTGTAATCTAAATTCAGGAAATAGCTCTACAGATAACTAACATGCGTACAGTGGTCACAAGCTTAAGAAATTATAAATATATACATATACATATATAGTATATAACTTTATTTTTATTTTTAAAATTTTACTATTTTTATTACAAAATCGCAATACAAATTTTCTTTATGATCGGTTTCAAACGGGCCTGTAAATATGTGTGTATTATCCTATATTTATGATATATCTTTTAAAAACATATTCTGATTTAAAGACAGTTTCTAATATCTTTGAACCATTTATATTATATGTAGATGATTTTTTTTAATTATTCTTAAGTTTAATTTGTTATCTCTGGTGTTCGGTGAGAATAATATCATAAATATTCCAACTGCGAGTGACTACTGTACTTATATAAATGGCGCTGTATATAACGGACATTTAATGGACATTTTATTTAATCATTTACATCTGTGTATGGTTTTTTGTTTAGCAATAATAAAAGAAAAAAGTAAATAATTGAAAAGCAATTTAAACATTTGATACTTTGCCCCTTTATTGTTGTAATTATATTGTGGTTGCAAAAGTGCAGCACTGAATGCGCATTTAAAGATTTTTTAAATATAACGGTTATTCTAGTGACCAGTGGCGGGCACGATCAGACATCGATAATAAGCAGAAAAATACCAAAATAGTAGATAAATATAAAATCGATATCGATAAACCCCTCTTGGATATCGATATTTTCCAGGCCGCTTGTGAACGGTCACACTGCTAGCACTAACATTAACAAAGAGCTATGTGTCGGCTGATACTTATCCTTATTTTACTTGTAATAATCGTAATTGCTTACTTCTGGTGGAAACCAGAAGCGGGCGGCACCAATACCGATGTCCTGCCAGTGGTCCTGTGGCACGGCATGGGCGACACTTGCTGTGCTCCCTTCAGTTTGGGTGCCATCATGTCGCTGATTGTGGAACAGACAAAGGGCGGCTTCGTCCGTTCCATTGAAATTGGCGACAACATTGTGATGGACTTTCAGAGTGGCTTCTTTCTTCACCCCAACGAGCAGGTGGACTATGTGTGCAAGGAGCTGCTGAAGGACGAGAGGCTGGCCAAGGGCTACAACGCGATCGGCTTCTCGCAAGGCGGACAGTTTCTGCGGGCCGTGGCCCAGCGTTGTCCCCAGCCGCCAATGCGAACCCTGATTACATTGGGGGGCCAGCATCAGGGCGTCTTTGGGCTGCCCATGTGCCCGACACTCACAGAAAAGTCCTGCGAGTACATCAGCAAGCTCCTCACCACGGCCGCGTACACAACGTGAGTAAATTAAGGATTCTTGAATTGAGTAACCTAGTTTAGGGATTTTAATTTGAGAAAGTCGTAATCCTCCCTTTCGAAATCATTTGTTTTTATTCTCCATTTCGATATATTCCATCAGCAAGGTGCAAGAGGAACTGGTGCAGGCCACATATTGGCATGATCCCATCATGGAGAACCGTTATCGCTTGGGCAGCACTTTCCTTGCGGACATCAACAACGAGGTGTACCTCAACACTTACTACAGTGAAAATCTCAACAAGCTCAGGAAGTATGTTATAGATCCTTGAAATATATCAGTATTTTAACTCCCTGCTTCCTGCAGATTTGTGATGGTCAAGTTTCTGAACGATACTATTGTCCAGCCAAAGGAGTCGCAGTGGTTTGAGTATTATACCAACGGGCAGGACAAGCTCATTACGTCCCTCAAGGACAGCAGAGTTTATACAAATGTAAGCTTATATATTTAAAGTATAAATGAAAGTGGAAATCTAAAGAACCCTATACTCCTCTTACAGCTGGGCCTGGACAAAATGGACAAGGCAGGCAAGCTAGTCTTCCTTGGCGTCGAAGGTGACCACTTGTCCATATCCAAGGCGTGGTTTATCAAGAATTTAGTGCCTTTACTACTCGAAAAGTGAGCCAGTATATTAGAGAAAATATATATATATATGTGATAATGAAATAAGATATTGTGACAAAAGATATTTACATATTGGATTGAGGATCGTATAACAAAAACACACTTTTTAGATACACTTTTAATATGTTTTAATTATAGACTTTTAATAAATTCAGTTGGGACATACAAAATGTGTTTGTGTTTTAAGTTTTTTTTCTCGCTTTCTTTCCTTCATTCACTGTTGCTTTTTTTTTTTTGTAATTCTTCTTTAACTAGTTAGCTTAAACGTTAGGATTTACGTCTCTTGTACAATATATGTCTTAAGTATGTTGTTGTGCCCGATATATTTCTCGGAAATATTCAATGCAAGGCAACCGCGTGTTCCGACTAAAATCATTCGTAATTACTCCGTTAATATAAACGTATATATATATCTAGATATATATATGTGGGTGTGTTAGGAATATATATAACGCTATGTACATGAGGCAAAATAACAAAAAGAAGTAGCTTAGAGTAAAACCATAGACAGATATTGATTTTGGATGGGATTCCACGATCATTTCACAGGCAAAACGGATGGAAAGGAGCAATGGAGAGAGAGGGGGGGAGGGTCTCCGGCACCAGCAAAGCACATCATAATTTAGACTTTGGATTTGTGTTACGTGCGAAAAAGATCTCCGGATCCTTGTGCGGACGCTGAATCTCTCGATAATTGTTGACTATCTTTTTGGACTCATCTTTGGGACACGATTGCAAATTGCGAAAAACGCTGACCTATCAAATAAATTGTGATATTTTAACTAATCAAAATATTTGATAATATATTAACCCACCTGACCGCGCGACACATAGATGGGTGTGCGGTAAATGATCCAGGTGACACTCTCGAAGTACGGCGCCGTTGTCAGCGAACCCTTGTAGGTATAATAATGCTTGCTCAACTCCTGCAGACCAATCCAAGACAGGCAATCTAGGTAGGCATTTATATAAAATATATTCAAATAACTAACTATATTTTTGTTAGTACTTACCGGAATCCAGCGACGCACTCGTCTGGATCTTCTGCACATTGCGTATGCCCTCGGTAATCTTTTTGAACTCCGGACAATCCTTTTCGCCGCACGCCTGTATGAAAAAGGCCACCACGGCCAGGCCGTCGGGCTTGTTCTTGGCCTCGGCAAAATCCTTGTACTTGGCATTGTAGTGTACGGCATGCGCCTCCATTGAGTACTTCATCCCCTCCAGCGTATGCTCGCAGCCGGATTCATCGCTATCGGACCAGTGAAAGTGCAGCTGCTCGAACACATACATGTCCGTGTCCAGGGCACCGCCGATAATATATGGTTGTTGCTTTCGTTTGCTGAAAGTTACCATTGCCGAGGTGCCGGTATTTTGGACTCTTGCCACACCCACTGGCTCCCAGTGACCATGATATTCCAGTGGATCCACATCATCAATGTGCTCGATTGCACGATTGCTGATCTCGATGGGGGATTGTACGGGCATTGCTTTTTCTGTTTCTCTCTCTATCTCTCTCTCTGGGTCTGTCTTTCTCTTTCTGTCTTTTTTGGATGACTGATTCCTCCTGGGACTGGTGTTTGGAAATCCTAAAATGTATATGAAAGGTTTTATTTGTATTTGTATTTGATTTATATAACTTATTTACTATTAAAAACATATATTTTATATTATTTGTAGGCACCTGTTTCCTCCGGTTTACAAAAAAAAAGAAAAAATTCCCAAACTCCTAAACTCCTAGCACCGTCTCCAGTTCCGTTTCCGAATTCGATTCCTAGCACCAAATAATTCCGCGATAGCTCCACCTCGACGACAACCTATGTTATGTGAGCTGCGTCCAGGTATTTCTTCTTCCGGAGCTTGTAGACACGCCCGCGATTGTCGTCGGCGCTGGCGTCCAAGTGCGTTGACAGCAGCGCAGCTCGCGGCAGCGGCGGCGGCGACGTCGACGTCGTGGTGGCGACTGCTCCGCTGGGCGCTCGCGTCTCGGAAAAGTTCTCTATGCCGGCCGGCGCCTTCAAAAAGCCGACGCACGCCTCTCAACTACTGCTGTTTATAACCGCTGCTGCCGCACTGATGCTCCTCCTCTAATCACTGTGCCCAAATTTCTTTCGATTCGATGTGAGCACCTGCAATAGGTCGGGAGGGAAACACGGATACGATTATGGTTAGGAATGGATGCTACAATGTATAAATTTGTGTCTGTGTGTGTGTGTGTGTGTGTTGGGTCCTTAAAAAATTATTATTATTATTATTATTTTTTAATATTTATGGAAATAAATAAATAATTTATTTTACTTAATTATTTGACATTTAGAGTGATTACTTTTATTAGATTTAGGGATCGGCAGTATAACATCTTTTAAGATCATGACCCCAGTAAACCGAAAAACTTGACAAACCTGTGACCTTTTTGCCTTAGCTGATTTGTTTTTTGAAAATTTAATAACTAAAGAAAGGATATCAAGGATCTCAAAGAGACCAGGATAAAATCTAATTAGAACTTAACCATAAAACTAATAAACTTTGCTGAAAAGGTGGCATCTTGAATTATTGGAAAACCGGCCCCAAAACAAGTGTTTTGATTTACAGTTAATAAACATGCTTTACCAGCTTAATTTATAACAAAAGCAAAAGCAAATAACCCTGCCTTTTAAGAATTCGAACACCTGAAATATCTGGTAAAATCTAGTTTCTGGAAGCAATACGTTCTCGTACGGAGATACGAGACTGGGAAACAGGAGCCGACAATTGAGGGTCACTGAATGAATCAATTAAATGTTTAGCAATTCGCGTGACGTGGATCCGCCCACACCTTACCACCTTCTTCTCCTTCCTATGGAAAATTGACACCCGCCGATGCATTTGTCTCCCCCCCACTCTTGATTATCCATTTGTGTAATTAAATGTCTTTATCAAATAGAAAACCTCCTCTTTTCTTCGAGCTCATATTCTCCTAAAATATTCCCCACTTAAATATTCCCGAGGACAAAGTACAATAGTCGAGTCCATCATCTTGTTTGCACTATTTTCTACGTTTTCATCTATTGATTTTCGATTTTTACTCTATTCTTTTTCACTTCTTAATAAAAAGAAAAATAAAACAGCCAATTGAAAGTGTAGAAGGAAGAAAACGTTGGGCAATTAAATATTGATTGGCAGGAAAATTATTGCAAATGAAGGCGTCAGCAACAAAAGTGATATATAACAATCAGAGAACATGGAAAAGTACGTTAATATTCTGTAGATATAAAGGTATAAATCCAATCGATATCAAGTGTTCATAAAAAAGTAATTGTAGGCCCATGAGACTGAGGGTCAGTGATTTAAAAGTCAGAAAGAACTGTTAAAGATTAAATAATTTAATATATTGAAATAAATATCGAAAAATATATATATCGATAAGATCGATAAATATATCGAACTTTATTATTTCCGCGCATTTTCCATTTATCTAAAGTTGCATTGATATATTATCGATATTTCAATGTTTTCTGTCATCTTTTGGCTATGATATACAAATTTTTTATTTTTATCATAAATTTATCTATTAGTTTCGAAAATTTCCTTCTGGAAATATTTAAAAATTTATTCACAACATTTTTTTCGAGTTATTATAACTTAATTATCTGAAGTTAATAAGATCTTTATAATGTTGTCTTTATTTTTTATGACTTCAGGTATTCGTAAACAAAAAGGTAATCGCAGAGGCAGGTGTCGAAAAGTAATTAAGATAAGAACCTTGAAACTTTGCACGTCTTTAAGACAGTAACACATTAAATATGGTTTTACAAATTTTCGGGGTTATTGCTCAATTTAAAGCGATGTTTTTCACATAAACACACTCACTTGATCTTGGAGAGAAACACTTTCTGTAGTTGAATAATTTTGCAAAATATAGAAACCCAGACGAGGGGGTCATAAACTAAATGCTTTTCCTATCGATTTTTGTGTAGCTTAAAGCCAGATTAACACGACTAATGTGAAATAATATTTAGGAACCAATAAAGCCAAATACGATTTTAATTGACAGTTTTATAATCCACCAGCAGTCGGTCATACGGAGAGAGAGAGAGCGATAAAGGTACACATACACTCCCAGTTGTAGACATACAGGTGCAAGGTGTCAAGAAGTCGTTCGACAGACGCAAGTAGGAGAAGCTTATCGCCCCAATGGAACCGATAGGGGAACTTGAGCCATATATTTACGACAGACATAATGGGGGGACCCATATAGTAAGCCCAGCCATCGGTGATCGATCACAACGAAAGCATTTCCACACCAGTTCCAAGGCTGGAAACTAGAAACTTTTGGCTTCAATTCGATCACATGCGATATATAGATATATAGTATATATAGAAACCAGAAACTTCCAGAACTAAGACTTGACTCAGCTGAAAATTTAATTTTGCATTGGTCATTGGCCTTTTTTAAGAAATACATGTATCAGAGATAGCTTATCTAAATCATGATATACCTTTGCTCTCTCTCTCTCGCCTTCGTCACCATTAAATAAAAAAATATCGATGGATGGTCAAGTGCACTCATTTCACTTTTTGATTTTGATTCACGTGATTTTTCAGAATCTGTCAGATATATTTAGGTTGCCTGTTATCATTCAAGATTGATCACTTGAGGAGTACAAACACTTTTCAATTAGGGAATTTGTACCATATCTTATCTATAATTTTATTTTGGGTTTTTGCTCTTATTTTATCTTTAGTAGAATTTATTCAGTAAAATCCTAAATGATGTCGATTCAAGATATGTTCGAATAAAATGAACGTTTCCTTCTGAATTGACACATTTAGTTCTATTTTTGGGGCTTGCGTGTTGAAGTCACTTGATAAAATCTAATTCAACTAATTAAAGCAAACTTGCTATTTCCAGATTTTACCGACCTTTTTGCTTGGCATATACATACATATGTATGTACTTATAAGTATGAGTATGAAGCACCTGATGCTCTGCGCCCTTATCTTATCCAAGATATATATGATGTTTTTGTATTTCTCTGACATCCATTTTCATTTATCTTGTATTTGTATGATATTGCAGTTTCCAGGGTTCCATACAGTGCCTTTCAACAATCTTTTTAAGAGTTTTTAAATGTAAATATCTTAAGGTTAACATTTCTAAGATTGGTATAGTTATGGTTTTTAATAGATCTATTAAAATTTATGAAATCATTTTCCAAATTATATTTTTCAAAGCTTTCATTTTCCAGTTTCATTCCTAATAATACTTTTGTAAATAAGTATATATCCACTATAATACCGGTTACCTTTAGGTTATAAGGGTATTACAACTGATATTTAAGTTGAATTGGGTGATAAGCATGGGAGTTATTAGTCAATAACGTTGTAACCTCCTATTTATCTAGCCTACTCGTTCTCAGCATTCGCCTCACATGGGGCTAATCAAGTCTCGAACCATGTGTTTAAGCTTGAACAATCTAAAATTAAACTTATATTATGATCAAATAATTTCTTTTTTATATCTAGAACCTTAATTTTCGTATTCAAGCAAGAGTTCAGTTCCTACAGAAAAAAATGTATATACAGAAAGATTAAAAATTACTTTGTAGTTCAAGATATCTGCATTTTCTTACCCTCCCCGATATACAGGTTCCAAAGTCTCTACTCCCGCTTACATGTCCATGCTATCGCACTTAACGTTTTTACTATCTGGCATTAAATAACACAACTAATGGTGGGTAAACGTAAATACATATACGGAAAATCGTATTTATAGCCGGCAGTATTTGTGTTATCATTATGATAGAATTTGCATAGAGTGGAGAGGATTTTTTTCGGCCATTGATAAGGTGGTGGCGGTGGTGACCGAAATGAATTCTCGATGACATTCGATGGGTGGAAAATTAACGGAGCCGAAGCTCAAGTGCCTATGTATATTTCAAGTGGTTAGATGCGAATCGGACGTCAGCTGTGGCCTTGAAGGGGAGCTGTCGATCCTGGGTGTGCTAACCACCAAGTAAGGGGCGTGGCCAATGGACAGTTATGTGTGTTCCTATGCAGATAAAAAAAGGTGGGGGAAAAAACATGACAATCAGGCATGTTCCTGATATCAATCACTCCCTTGACTTCAGATCGGATTGTAGTTAGTTTATATTTAAATTGAAATTTTAGAACCTGGTCAGTCCTGTTTTACCATATAAAAAGATCATTCTTTAGGCTGTTTTGCATTGCGATGGTTCCTAATTTTCTGCTCCATTTTCGCTTATTTTTCAATATTTTGCTGACACTATATCGAAACAATTGTTTACATTAAAAATGACCACTTTTTGTTTTGTTTTTTGTAAATTCCCTTCCCCTTATCGAAATGATGTCGAAACGAAACGTCAGCAATACCACTTAGTTGATATCGAATCGTAGCTGGAGCTTATCGCCTCCGCAGACGATGACGCCGCTTCTGCTGATGTCCAACTTCGGATCAATGTCTCTCTCTATCTCTGGGTGGGTGGCCGTGCGGAATCAGCGAATTTATGCGGGTCGCAAGTGACCGTGAAATGGGTATGTTCATATGTAAGTCTGAGGGACAGACCGAAATACTTCACGATAAATATTGTAAATGTGGTTAAGTAATTGCATTGACCGATAGCCCAAGTAGGCAAACAATAGAACACAAAACTGCACAGCAAAAATAAAAACTAATCAAATGTAGTATTATCCAGAGAATTGAGTTAATCCAGGTATAATTCACAAATTCTTTGCTAAACAAATAATCAACAAATTATAAATGAATTTGTTGAGGTAACTTAATGCAATATGAGAAATAAGCAGTGAGAAATTGTTGTCAGTGCACTGACGGCGAGCGGAACAAGGATTTCAGGAGCGGATGGTAAAGCTCCTGCGACAGACAGTTCTTAGCCACCTATGTATGACCTCATCCATCCATCAAACGCGTTATCCACCAACTGGCCCTCCAACTAGCATTATATATGGGCAAGTCAACGTTGACGAGGCGGCAGCAGGAGCAACAGGAGCTGGTCTATCGACCAAATAACAAATAATCTACACCGCCGCGACTTGGTCTGAAAGTTGGGCAGGTGTGGGTCAGTTGGGGTAAGTTATTGTGAGCTAGACAAGTGCAATATATGTACTTATGTACACGTAGAGGTGGGTTATTGTTAATACCAAACGTTTGTTTCAATTCCAAGGGTGTATGGCTAAAATATGTGGTTTACTTATAACCAAAACATAGGAAATGTTACACATTTGGTGTGATACGAATGGAATGCATCTTGATGTTTACAAATAACCGTTTTAATTATGAATTTGCGTTGTAAATGAAATATTAAGTGAATAAAAAACTAAAATATGACGTGACGTAATGAAAAACAAACAAAAACCAATTAGAACAAATTATTCGCATTTGCATTATCAACTAAAATTAAATTTAACAAAAACTGATAAGAGTTATTTTATATTGAATACAAATTTAATATTGTGATTTATTAATTAAATATCAATGCCTTTAGCTACTTATAATATGAAAAATTTATTATTAAGAATTAAAGGGAATCTCTTAATAATTTTATTTGTATTTTTAGAGGAAAAAGCAAAAATAGATGGATCTATTTTTAACACTTCCTTTTATATGTCCAACAGATGGCGTCCCTGACCCCTTTATCTTGTTATCAATGTTTTCCTCCTTCGCTTTTCCCCCAATTTGTTTCTTGGTCACGCGAGATTAACTAAACGGTAATTTATAGGGTATTAAGGTTTGTCGCTGCAGCAGCTGTTTTGCTGTTGCTGGAGCAGGAAAAGAAACCGCAAGAGAAGCGAAAAAAATGAAGCAAATCAATAAAATATATTTTTGCTCTCCAAGTGCAGGGTCGCACACACACACACACAAACAGCTGACCTTCACACTGCACAGAAGGAGAGTGTGAGAGAGGGAGAGCGAAAGAGTGCGGCACGTGAACAGCAAATAAGAGGAGGGCACAAAGGGAGGGGTTGTAAAATTATGATTAACGGCTGAGCAGATACAATAATTTGTAAACTCACTGTCCCTAGTTTTTCTCTCTATACCTCTCTCTGTCTCTAAGTGCTGTTTACTCCCGCTCGATCATTTGCATTTGTTGCTTTTTTATTTAATTTTTTTTTTTTTTTTTTAACACATTTTTGGGACAGCGGCCGGCTTTGTTGTTTTTGTGGTGTTTGTTTTTTTCCGCGACAGACATTTTTAATAAGCAACGCACACACATTCACAAGCACACACACCTAATTTGCGCATGTTTTTAATGTGTTGTGTGTGTTTGCCAGTGTGTGTGTGTAGCGGAGTTTTTGTAAGTTTCCGTCTCGACTCATCTTCTAAAAATTTACCTGTTGATTTACTGTGTCTCCCCTTGGTCGTCGCTTTCTGCTGCTGTCCTCCGTCAAATAGCAGCAATTCTCCTCGTAATTAATTTATTTAAACTAATTGAGATGAATCCGCATTTGTGTATTTACGCACAACTTTTAACTTTGACTCGCATTCGCTTTAGCGCTCCTTTTCACACACAACACCACTGACAACAGAAACGCATTTGGGGGCAACAAAAAAACAACAAACGGCGAACGGAAAAAAATAAACACAAGTTGTGAAATCTCTTTGCGGCAAGAGAAGAGCGGAGAAGAAGAGCGGAACGCACTGCTACTTTAGTTTAGATTTCTTCTGCTGCAACAATAAGACCGCACTGACAACGATTAAATATACTATCCGGTCGAAGAATAACGCTTGGTCAGGCAAGAAAAATAGCTGGTCACACTTCTTTTGAGGTATTGGTATACTATCGATAGGCTAACATGAAAAATAATCGTTACCGGCTTGTAATATTTTTTATAATTTAATATTTTATCATTATAAGAAAACTATTTAGGGCGTTAAAAATGGGTACTCATATGCGGCATTAGGTTGTTTTTAAAAATAAGCAAATTTGGCAGCACATGCGTAGCGAACGCCATTTTGCTGGCGCTTAGGAACGATCAGTCTGCATGACATGCATGTTAAATGTATCGAATGTGCCTTATATTGTATTTTAATGAAATCTTAAAAACGAAGTAATGTGGAAGACTACGTATATTTTCTATATATATATATATATATATTTTTTTAACACCATTTGACTACATATGTTAAAAGTTTACCATCCTTATCAATTTAAATATTACTCTTTATAGTTGATTATGTACTTGTTATCAATTGTTAATAATTACTTTATCACTATAGAGAGAAATAATTGTCATTATGTTATTTATGATTGCATTTAAATATCAAACAAAAATATGACGATTTCGATATTTGGGCAAAAAGTATCGGTATATTTAGGTTTTGAAACACGCCGATATAGTGGGAAAATAGCTAAATTGGCGTGTAATCGTTTTAAGCGTCGTTGCTTCTTGCTAAATTTTCTTGCGAAAAAGTGTGGGAAAAATAAGAAAAACTATGAACATTTGACGGCCGTCAAAACTGTCAAAGTTCCGGGAATAAAGGAAGCCGAAATACCAATGGTTTATAAGTAAACCCGCAGCACAAAACTTTTTCCTCCCGACCCGGGACTCCTCTCTTTGTACGTGTGTTTGTTTGCGCGTGTGTTTGCCTGTGTGTGTGTGAGTGTGTGTGCGTGCGTGCCAAGAGAGTGTGTGTGTGTATGTGAAAAAAAGCCGCACACTGCAAAAAAAACGCGAATAGACGAAAAAAAATTTCATTTTCCCAACGGTCGAGAATAACCGCTAAAATTGTGGAAAAACAGGAGAAAACCCCGAAGCGGAAGAAGAAGACTGCAGCCAGTAAAATGTCTGCAGTTTATTCGCCGCAACCGCCGCAGCAGCAGCAGCAACTGCAGCCGCAGCAGCAGCAACCCCCGCCACAGCAACAGCAGCAGCAGCAACCGCCCCCGAATAATGCCCCCAATCAACAGCCTCCTCCTGGTTCCGGTGTGGGTCCCGGCGGAGGAGGAGGTGGTGGCGGTGGCCCAGGAGGCGGCGGAGGCGGAGGTAGCATCTTGCCGATGGGAATGCAACAGCAGCAGCAACAACAACGACCACAAATGGGCGTACCAGGTTCACCAGGCAGCATCATCTCTGGCGGCGGCGGTGGCGGTGGCATGATGGGCACACCGCCGTCCACACCGCGCGGCTCAAATGTGGTGCCGCCGCAGGTCAACTCTGCCCAGATCCAAAAGATGCTCGACGAGAACTGTGGCCTCATCCAGACCATTCAGGACTTCCAGAGCATGGGCAAGGCGCAGGAGTGCATGTCCTACCATGTGGCGTTGCACAGGAATCTGGTCTATCTGGCCCAGCTGGCCGATCCCACCATGAACATCTCCCAAATACTGCCGGTGGGTTTAGACTTAGTAGAGATTGCTTATAATAATTGTTAATCAAGCTGAAAACTAAGAAATATTATTTTTATATGACAAATTGAATATATACACTTGCCTTTATAAAGAGTAATTAATTGTATTACGAGAAAGTACTCTTTCACTTGAAAAATGCCAACTTAAAGAAGAAAATTATAAAAAATTATTAAACCAAAACAAATTTAAAATTATTATATATAAAACTCTCTGATATAGTACCATTAGTTAACAAATACTTTCACTGAAGAGGTTACTAATTCTATTTAAAATATGAATATGACTTTAAATTATAATATATAATTGAATTGAATTGATTTAACTCTTAAGAAATTATATTAAAAAATTATACCCATTTTACACATCATCTTGTTTCTTTACTGATAAACAAAGTCTTGAACATAAAACAATTAAAAAAAAAATAATAATAATAATCTACATAAATATTAAAAATTTTGGAAAACGGTTAACCAAGAATATCTTAACATAAAAAAATTAATTAAAATCACATATAAATAAATTACTAAAACTGCTATTTGTATAATTATTAACAAAAATTAATAATTAAAGAAAAAAATTAATAAATAAATAATAATAATAAAAAAAAGTATATTAATAAATAATAATAATAAATAAATTAAAATCGAATGTAAATAAATTACTAAAACTGCCACTTCTCCTTCAGCCACCGCACATCCTCCAGACGCAAGCCATGCAACAAAGCGGCCAGCAGACTCCTCCATCGGGACCGCACGGAATGCTGGGCGGACCACCGCCGCAACAGCAGCCAGGACAGCAGGTAGCTCCGCCACAGATGGGCATGCAGCAGCATGGAGGCGATCCGCAGGGTCCGCCCGTTCAGATGACGCCGTATGGAGCGCAACAGCAGCAGCCCCAGCCACATCCCGGGCTGCCGCCAAACGCCCAACAGCAATCTCAGCAGCAGCAGCAGCAACAACAGCAACAGCAGGCTGCAGCAGCGGCGGCAGCAGCAGCGGCAGCGGCAGCCGCCGGTCAACAGCAGCAGCAGCAGGGACCGCAGGTTAGCCAGGCGGGTCCACAGTCACAGCAGCAACAGCATCCCGTCTATCGCAATGCCCAGGGTCAGGGACAACAGCCGGGTCCGGGACAGGGGCCAGGACAAGGACCAAATCCAAATGCAGCGCCCAGTAAGTGTAATGTTGATCAAGATCAAATGCAAGAAAATGAGGAAACAGCGTGGCTGAATTATTTTCTGGAGGATGGTTTCAATTACTCCGATTTCCAATGAAGTTCAAGAGATTTTAGCAAAAAAAAGAACATGGTCTCACAAGTTTGGAGACGTTTTCAAGATGGGTTTTCTTACTTATTTATTGTTGCCACATAAATAAAGCGAGATTCCCAAGAAATAAATCGATTCTCAAGCATTGCAAGTTCAAGTTGCACGTTTTTTTTAAGAATCCTCACTAAATAAACCCTTTAATTTGTTAATTTACCTCCCATCATGCAGATCAACAGCGTCCCAACAATGGACCTCTGGCAGGACCTCAGAATCCCCAGCAGCAGCAGCAACAGCAGCCCGGTTCACAGCAGCCGCCCAACCAGCAGCAAAGTGGTCCTCAGCCCGGAGCCGGTGGACCCGGTGTACCGCCGCCCCAAAGCCCCTACCGCGTCAGTTACCAGCAACAGCAGCAACAGCAGCAGCAGCATGGCCACTATCCCGGCTATCCGCCGCAACCGCAAACCCAATACCAGCCGCAGCCAGGTGCCTATCCCTACGGACCGCCGACTCAGGGCTATGGACCGCCACCACCAGTGCCGCCGAATGCTGGTCAAGGTGGCTATCATCATGGTCCAGGAGCAGCCGCGGCAGCTGCAGCAGCCGCAGCAGCAGCAGGTGCTGGCGGACATGGTTATCAGCCAAATGCCGGAGGACCAGGTGGACCACCGCCTGGCGCATATCCACCGCCGCCCGGTAGCCAGCAGGTGCCGCCAGTGCCGGGACAACAGCAGCAGCAGCCTCCACCGCAAGGGCCACCGCCACCCGGCCAGATGTATGGACCGCCGCCCACCGGTGGACAGCAGCAGCCAGGTCCGCCACCCCAGAGTCAATACGGTCCGCCGCCACCACAGAATTCAGCGGGTGGTCCACCGCCGCCGATGAGCTATGCTGGCTATCCGCCCCAGCCTGGACAGTACGGTCAGGCGGGAGCGGGCGGAGGACCTCCGCCACCTGGCAGCTACGGACCGCCACCGCCGCCCACAGGTAGTGGCCAGAGTCCCTATCAGGCGTATCAACAGCAGCAGCAACAGCAGGGGGCTGGTGGCGGCGGCGGAGCTGGAGGACCGCCGGGCAGCAGCTATCCAGGAGGACCGCCGAATAGTGTGGCTTCGGTGCCACCGCCACCACCGGGTAGCGCCTACAGCACTACAGCACCGAGTCAAACACCACCGCCACAGGCGGGCAGCGCTGGAGGAGGAGGACCCGGTGGCGGCAACACCAATCCCAATGGACCCAACGCACAGCAACAGTCGACGCCGCCACCGCAGGGCGGTGGAGCTGGTGGCGGGGCAGGAGGCCCCACAGGACCCGGCGGATCTGCTGGCCAACAATATGCAGGACCGCCGCAGCAACAGCAGCAACCGGGCGTCGTTGTGTCCGGTGTGGCGCCGCTGCCAACGCAAGTTCAACCGACAACATACTCCACGCCGGGTAACTACAACCAACAGGCAGGCGGAGGAGCACCGCCGCCGCCCAACCAGCAGCAACAGCAACAGCAGGCACCGCCGGCGGGCGCAGGAGGATCAGGCGGCGGTGGTGGTGGTGGTGGAGGAGCAGGTGGTCCACCCAATGCCCAGCAGGGACAAGGCAACCAGCAGCAGCAGCAGCAACCGCCGCCAAATGGAGCCACGCCGCCCATGCCGCCGAATCAATATCAACCGGCGCCGCCTGGAGCACCGCAGAATCCCTACGGAGGACCACCGCCGCCTCCACCACAAGGCTATGGCCCACCGCCGCCGGGTAGTGCATATCCCGGCCATGCGTACCATCAGCCACCTCAGACTGCCGGCTATGCCCAATATCCGCCGTCGCAGGGCTATCAGGGCTATAGGCCAGCCGGCGCACAGATGCCGCCACCGGGAGCACCACAAGGTCCACCGCCAACGGGAGCCTATGGATATTATAGCCAGCAGCCGCCCCAATGAGGCAGGGAATCCCTATTGCCGCCGCCCGGCTTCATCCATCCCAAGTGATTCGTGTCGGGATTCGCTGGCTGAAGTAGCTCCGGCGAGGAGAAGCCACCAGGAGGAGGAGCAACTGGTGGCGGAACTTGGTGGAAAGTGGATGGAGCACAAGCAGCGGTGGCAGAGGGTACAGTAAAGAACCGATAATTATGATTAAATATCAAAAGAAGGCGAAGGAAGAGAAAGAGGAGGAGGAGGAGGAGCAGGAGAGTTAAGATGTCAAAAAGAGAAATGTATCAAAAGAGAAGGAGCAGAAAGAGAAGGGAGAGCAAAAGTTAGTAATTAGGATTAAAGCGAATAGGGGAAATAAGAGAAAGGTACGAAAGGTAAGACTTGCAGTAGAAAAAGAACACGAAGAAGGCTTTGAAGAATTCTTAAAACAATTAACAAAAAAAAACATGCAAACGAAATACGAGGAGAAAGTCCAACCAATAGCCTCTTCTGCCTCAGAATAAACTGAGAGAAAAGGCAAAAGAAATCGAAGAGAGAGCAAGCTAAGAACAAGAATGGGTCGATATGACTAAGGGAATTTTGGGGATTCCAAAAACAAAAAAAGAAATAAGGCCAGGTCAAGATGGTGGTTCAGTAACTCACAGATTTTATATGTATTTTGAGGCGCTAAAAGCGAATCTAAAGACAAGAATAAATAAGAAGAAAAGGAGCAAAGAAAAGGGATAAGAAGGATGAAAAGATTCTTAATTAGTTAGGGATTCGTGATATGATATATATAGCGCCAGGGTCCCCCAGACTACCTCCTGGCCGCCTCCTTAAACTCTACTTTCAGCTTCTTATACAACAAAAATCCCATTGCCAATCGATCGACCCTTTATCCTATTACTATATATAAATAATTCTCTCTTAACAAAAAAAAAAAAAAAAAAACGAAACAAAAAAAGGCAAAAAACACTCTTCTTCGTAAACGATTTATGCATAAACATAAATATATATAGAAATAGATGTTTAAATTGTAAGGAACAGCAGAATTAGCAACATGTTTTTAACATAAAATAACGCAACAGACTATTTAAACAATTTTTATTATTTTTTTTATAGGGTTTTCTTCTATATATTTTTTTATTGTCCCCATAATTTTTTTTTTTATTTTTTTTGTTATTGTGTGTGCATGTTTAAGTAAAAAAATTGTAATTTGTAAAATCAACGTATATGTATATTTATTATGATAAGCTTAAATTTACTATTTAAAGTAAAACAAAATCTGAGAAAACTATCAAATCATGAATAAACTTTACATTTGAAACAGAATAATAATTGAACGCGTGGGAATATACATACATATACATATATATTCCAAGGAGAAGAAACAAAAACAGATTAAGAGAAAATAGTGCAAGGAATTAAGCAAGAAAATAATAACAAAGTTAATCCTTCGGCTTTCGGGAAACCTGTTTCAAATTCTACAAACTATATGGATTATATTTGAAGACCTGTAAGGAGTAATAATTCAAAATACACTGTTACAAATTATTACAATTATTTGCTTGCGCACAAATTATAGAAGAGTTCCAAATTGATATCTAAATTATTTATTCCAATAAAAACAACAACAAACAAAAAAACTAGTTATTTAAGGTTAGTTAAAATATTAACACGTAAGAAGCGATGAAATTATTTTTTTGGAACGCCAGAGAGAGAAAGAGATAGAGATCCCCCCCTACAAATTGTAAAATTTCGCTTAGATATTTCCCGAAAGTTCGTTCCATTAGTCTTGTAGAAAGAAACTTGTGTGAAAATGAGAAGAATCTGTAAGAAGGTCAGTCGCTGTCTCGTTCTAGATCAGAGTGTGGCCTATAGCTCTGGCCTGCTCTAATCCGATCTGATCGAAAATCTAATATGATTTCATATTTGATCCACATCGAGAGAAACCATTTAGACATATGTAAATGTATGTTTATCAAATATAGCATTTAGAAATCTCTATTTTCCAAATGCAAAACAAACAAAATGAATAAAAGAAATCAAAAAAATTGAAAAAGTTATGAAAACAAAAGCAAAAGTCTTTCTTTTCTTATATTTTTGGGAAATAAATAAATAATGTCGATTTTAAGGATGTAAATCGAGAGATAAATATCGTAAAGTTTGATAAATCGAAATTTGTAAATATCGAACAATCGTATTTAAAATTCAAATATCGATGCTATGACAATTTTATTTAATTAATTCGTTGTTTTTTTAAGGGTTTCATTTAAAACTAATATTTTGTTAAACCCTTTTATGATACTTTAAACTAAATATAAGCTTTCCTTTGCCACAGTTCGATATATATTCAATAGAATGTCGATTTAAAAAATAGATATCAGGTTAAATATCAATAGAATATCCATATTTTTTTATTTTTCCAAAGATTTAACGTAATAATCATGTAAAACCCGCATAGATTTATTTACTTTAGGATATTTTTTTATTAGAACCTCTTTGATATATTAGAGTGGGGAGCTTATCACGACTCCAGTGGCTGTTGACTTGTGTTTCGCGTCTCCTTCTAGTCATTCTCCTCGAGATCCTCCAGCAGCGGCTGATCATCCAAGTGCCCGGTGCCTGGCAATTCAGACTCCCCCGGGGGTGCATCTCCTGCTGCTCCCTCTCTTGATTCCTCACCATCTCCTGCTCCTGTTCCTGCTCCTTTTCCTGCTCCCTCAGCCGCTGGCTGGCCACCACGCCGGAACACTTTGTTCAGCAGCTTCTTGATAAAGTTCTTTGGCGTCGTTGTCGTCGGCTTGCCCACGATTATCATCTTGGTGGCCACACTGTGGATGGGGCCAAAGGCCAAGGCCACCACCGTGCAGGCCAAGCAGATGACATTGTATGGCATGCTAAAGTCTGGCGTGGGCAGTGAAACAATTAACGCCTCCGTGTGCAGGCTAAGCACATAGCTGGGTCGGGTGGCATTGAAGGAGTCCCGGAACAGATAACCCTCGACCGGCAGGGCAGTGTAGTTCCTGCCCATTGGCAGCTGGCTGGACACCAGCGCCGATCCGATATAGTGACCATGATTGGCATCCGGCGGATATTCGAGCCACTTGAGCAGCAGATAGTCCACGTCGATGGTTATCAGAGCGGACGTCTGGCCCGGCAGCAGAAAGCCGATCTCCAGATGCGACGGCAGCTCTCGCTGCTTTCCGGGCTTATAGTGGAGCAGCTTGAACGGAATCCGCTGGCGTCCGTACTCATTAACGCGCTGCGGCTTCTTGCGAACGGAGAGGGTGTGCAGGTAGCCGTGGACATACCAAGGTATCACCTCCTGCACCAATATGGGCAAGGCATCGTAATGTGAGTTTGTGATCTCGGTGGCGATACGCCCTCGCTCCTGGCCATGCCCCAAGAGATACCGATGGACGGTGAGGGGCGGCGGAGTTGGCTTCACCATATTACGTCGACGATTCTCGCTTTTCGGCGCCAGCCAGGCCACATTAAAGAGACGCTCGCCGTGATCCTTGAACTGTTCGTGCATGTCGTAGACGCCATAGATGGCGGTGTGTCCACCGCGAGTGCTCCTCACCTCCTCATTCTCTGGACTGGGCGGTGGCACTAGCTGGTAGCGTTCACCCTGCTCATTCCGCTGGACATACATCTTAGAGCTCTCGGCCAGCTCACAGTAGCCGTTGAGGCCCATGCCAAAGAGCCGGCGCAGTGAGAAGTCACCGTTGCTGCTGCTGCTGCTGCTCTGCTCGAAGAGACGCAGATCGTAGACCAAATTGGCCGTCTGCGTCAGCTCCACAATGCAATTATCCTCGCTATTATCCTCGCACAGCGTTCGCACCTTCAGTCCCAGCGAATGGTACTTGGTGTTGTGGACATGGCCGGAATTAAGCAGCGAGGCAAAGCCAGAGGCACTGCCGCATGGCAGGAGCTTCTTCCACGGCGTCAAATTCTCAGTGCAAACGATCTCACGGGGCAGTGCCGAATATCGAACAAAGTTCTTCCTGTTGGCGGCCGGCATAAATTGTGGACGGAGCAGATGGCGTGGCGAAATACTATTCGTTTTGTCCACGAAATTCAGGGAGGCGCATAGCACGCCGGAAAACACATTGGCCAGCTGGCTCCATTGGCTGTTCACCTCGCTGTCGGTGAGATTGTTATCGCCGCTAAACCAGGCCCACATCTCGGCACCGCTGGTTGCCTCCACGATGGGATATCCCCAGGTCTCGTAGCGCCACAAGCCCTGGGTCAGACCAATGTGCAGCTCCTTGACGTCAAACTGTTGCAGCAGCTCGGCAATTACCCGGGGCGTCAACTGGGTGTGGTAAACTAGGTAAAAGGAAATGGGATTCAAACGCTTTTCGAGATATCAAATGTGAAAATCACGTACGATTATCCTTGTGACCAAAATGCCAGCGCGTGGTGAACTGGAAGTAGGTGTTGACATGATCGCCGGACAGTGGCCGCACCACCAGCTCCTCGTCGAAGCGCTCGTCATCCCTGCCCAGCGGCGACTTGGCTGAGCTGGCAACAGTTAATGGAATGAGTGCAAGCAGGAATAGCGCAATGCCGCATGGGCGGGGGCGTGGCCCGGCAGTGGGACACCCAGGCTGGCCCATTGGCAGGCGGTTAAATATATATTTGGTACTGTGTCCAATTAACACGATGAAAACATAAAACAAGGCGGCTATTGAAATCAGCTTGGCCAGGGGTTGCTATCGAGCTATCGTTATTGGCTTATCGATAGGATATCAGCTGACAGCGATGTAAGCAACATGGAAACTATGCGCCAGCTTGTGGTTTTCCATGTTTTATGTAATTGCTATTTTACTTTAAAACTAATTAAATTATGTGTACATTAAAATATTTTGCTTAATTTTTCATATTTTAATAGATTTTTTTACTTATAGACATCGATAAATACGATCGATTATTTTTGTTGACAGTTCAAATTTGAAAAGAAGGTACGTTTTTTCATATGGGCCTTTTAGGATTGTGTCAAATAACCTTTGTTTCATTTCAGATTTTCACGTGGGCAAAGTTGAGAATACTGAAGTTCAGCATAAGGGAAATATTTGTGAATCAAAGCAAAAAAATAAGCAGATTTTCGGCTCTTCTGTGGGACACGGAAGAGTGGGAGCCTCAATAGAAATCTTTTGGTAAGCGAGTTTGAGCTTTAGTGATTTCGTTTTGTTTTAAGAAAGAACTTTAAAAACTCTTCAGAAATTACATAGCCTTCTTCTCCTTTGCTTGTTTAATAATCACCCTCAATTGTGGTTACAATAATCCTGAAAGGTAAATAAGAAATTGAATCGAAATGAGTTGATGCTTTAATCTTTATTTATTAAGTAAAAAGTTACATTAAATAATTAATTTAATAATTAAAAAATTCATTCATTTATTTAAATAAATGTTTATGGCGGTTACGCGATTGTTCAGCAGAGTTTCCATCCGTTTTCATCAATGCTATTCCACCTACTTCTTCGCTCAATTACCTTTATTTTGAGGACAAACATTACATTACATTTTAAGATTCTCCACCCTTTTCCTTTAAATTATCCGTCTTTCTATTCCAGTTTATGGTGTAGTCTCAAACCAATTTATAACGGTTTATAAAAGATTGCGACGGCCACACTGGCACTCGCCTCTAGCTCGAACTAGACACGAATAAATTATCGATAACGCTCAGGCAATCGACTATTTTCTACCCCATTGCTACATTTGACACGGTTTGTAGGTAAAACCTACATTTGACATTTGCGCCCCAACATCGTCTGGCCACACTGAGTGACGTTTCTGGGGTCTCGCCGCCACGGCCACACCTCAAAGTGAAACGCCAAACGACTTGAAAACGACGTGTGTGCTCAGACTCGTGCTCTCCGAATTTATTTTGGTCATCTATACTTTGCTACTGCCTCTGGTACTGATTTGTACGAATAAACAGCTAATGCGGCGACTAGCGCAACGGCGGCTGGAGCGAACAATACGTTTTTCTTCCCTGGGGCGAAAAAGAGCAAGCGAGACCTTTTCAGCAGGCGAAATACGAAAATGAACACCATGATATGCAGATTAATTTCGACAACATAAAAACAAAGGGGGACGGGGAATCTAATAGAAGATAATATCTGGCACATTTGTCGCAAAAACCATAGAGTTTATCCTAGCATTTCAGTTTTTCGTCATTTTTGTTTTTTGTTGAACCGCAGCGTAAACAGCGCAACGAAATTCGCGACACACGACGAAAGTAACAACAACTACTACAAGCGAACGGCGGCGACGACGTCGCCAGGAAAGATTTTTACTCTCGTCGCGGTATACTTCAACTGTTTTTGAACTTTTATTGCGTGTGGCTCTGCTCTTGCGGGCGAAGCGACAAAACGCGCGCGGCGCCACAAAGCGGCCAAAGAGGGATTGGGAGCGAGAGCGGGAGAGCGCTCAGGCTGGTGCTCTCTTCGCCTGCGTGTACGGGAGGCGGTGTCTCGGTGTGCGTGTGTGCTTGTGCTGTGTTCGTCTCTGTCTTTGTCGGTTGCCGCGCGTTTCGCTCGTGTTTATCGCCGCCGCCGTGGACTAACACACTGAAAACGCGCCGCAACCGCTGCCATTGCCAATGCCACAGCGAGCCGTTTTCGCCGCGTTCGTGTTCGAATCTCTCGCTCTCGCCCAATTCGCCCTGCCTGGTCTTGCTTGCTCTAAATCAATATTCCATGAAACCCATCTAGTTTGTACAAATAAACGAAAACTGAACGATCAGCAGTCAGAGGCGTGATTGTCAAAACAAACAAAAGTGATCCCAACTTGTAAAAAACAAAGTTAAAAGACATCAAAATAATAAGCAGCAGAGAGCGGCGAAAACTTAACGGCGAATACAGCGGCAGCAGCAGCGGAGCGCAAGCGAGACGGCAGCAGAGCTCCGCTGCGAGGCAACGGGATAGAACGAGATAGCCTGCAGCCAAAGAGAGCGCCGCAAGGAGGAGCAGAAGCAACGAGCAAGCCACAAAAGAGAGCGCAGCGCGAGAGCACATTACGACGCGACCTACTGAAAAGGTGATTTTTTCGTTTCATTCGTTTTACTTTATTTATTCCTTTATTCCCCTCAAATTTCGTTTTAGTAACTACATATTTAAAACATAATTGTACGCCTAGTTAAGCTTAGTCTATTACCAGAATGCCAGTGAGAAAATCGTAATGTAACTTTGGCTCTGCTCTCGTCTCGACTTCCTCTTACTCTCTCATTTCATAACTCGTTTTGGATACACTTCTCATTTTGTATTTTCTTGTTGTTGTTTCATTCTTGATTTCGCTTAAAAATCACATGTTTTTCTGTTTTGTTGTTCTTGATCAAAATTCAAATTAAATCATTTTCTTTTCTAACCAATTACGAGGAATTTCGATTTTTGCAGCTTTGTGGCTCACTTTCATTGAAACCACAAAGAGAAAGAGCGAGGGAGCGAGAGAGAGAGCACTTAACAGCAAATAGGGCTGTTATTAACATATTTTTCAGCAGTGCGTAAAAAAAACCAATAAATATTTAACCAAAAAAGACTTGCTCTTATAAAAACAAAAACAAACAAAAATATCTGCATTTCAATAATTTTTAGTATTTTGTGGGCGGGATGACGTCACGGGCTGCTGCTTCTTTCTTCGCTTTTAGTCTCTTTACGGCTATTTTTGGTATGCATTTCTTAGTGTGTGGTTATGCGTCACATTCTTGGCATTTTTCGCATTACAAAGAAAAAAGCCAAACACGTAAGAGTTAGAATAAAATTCCCTTGAAACAAAGCGTTTTGCTGCCAATGTAAACCCTATTTCATGAATTATAAAAATCTGTACGTCTGTATGTACACGCATTTTTACAATGCAAAAAGGGCCATGCATTTTCTAATGGCAATGAGAATATCTTTCTGCTAATTGTCCTGTTATGCTGAAAAGTAACAGAAAGCGGGGAAAAGGGACGCCTAAGGAGCAACGAAGCGTCTACATCCACCGTTCGAATATCCTTTGCCTGAATTTTTGCCAAAATTCGATTGATATTCTGCATTTTCTGATTCTAAGTGTTGCGTTGGTAACATTCTTCTCGACGGCTCCCACACTCTGTTAAGCAACTTAGCATGCCAGACAGGGACGGAGACAGAGACGGGGCAGCGTGCGAGCGAGCGAGGTGGATGTGTTTCGCAGTAAATCGTGGAATATTTTTTCAACAAATACCACTGCTTCGAGCCGCGCTGGCGGCAGACTGAATTTCCAATAGCATTGTCACACATTCGAGATTTCAGGCGACTCGCTGCTCTGCCGACGCCGACGTCGTCTGGCTTCCGCTCGCCCTGTTAAATGAAACTAGAAAGCACGTCGGCCTTGATTCGCTCGACTGTCGGATACCCTATATCTCGAACAGTATTAGGAGCTGCATTTGCGTAAGCACTATTCAGAATTCGATTAAGGTAAAAATGTATAATTTACTACAGTTACAAACCCAGATTTTTTAAATCAATTAAGAAGTTTGAAATTTTTACCATGTTTAGATTATTAATTCCAACCATTTTTTGTTTTTTAGATTTCTGGTAAACAAGAGTATTTTTGTTTAACTTATCTTAGTTTATTGATGTATATATTTCGATGTACCTCTATATTAATTTTGTGCTGCCACAATTTAGAATATATATTAATTGTAAACTTAGAAATATATCTATGCAAATAGTTTATAAAGATAGGCTTTTAGCTTTCTGCTGTAGCATACCCTCTTGCTGGGCAACGAAAGGGTATAATACCTGAACCGAATTCGCCGCATGCGACAAACGGCTCTCATTTGTTGCCTTGTGGCCCGCTGCTTTTGTAGCTTCGCTTGTCGCGTCGCGTGCTCCCTCTCCCGCTCTGTCGCAGACGCTCTCATTTTTCTGTAGGAAATACATTCAGTGAATTTTCTCAGAAAAGAAGTTTCTAGCAGTTGTAGTTGTAGTCGCTTTAGGGTTAGATTTTATTTTATGCTTCAGCCGCGTTTCGTTTTGGGCGAAAAATACGAAAAATTACAATGAAATAGAAGATTTTTCGTCATTTTGTTACGTTGTTCAGCAGTTATGACACATAAACGATGAGTTTTCGCCATTTGTAGGTGCTAAAAAAGTGTAGATTTTTTGTAGGGTAAACATATTTGTTTGTTTAAATTCTTCTTTAAAAGCAGAAAGTTATATATTTTATACATGTAGTATCAATGTATTGATACATTTTTCTTTTATTTTCTAGAAGTATTTTTTGGCAGTAATAGCTATTAAATTTTTAGAGGTTATATTCTAGTAATATTTGTTTAAATATGTATTATGTAAATATAGTTTAAATTGAAACATTTATTTAAAATAATTTTATCTTGTGACATTTTCGTTTGGATTATTATTTTGTTTTTTCTTTTAAATGATTGTAAAATATTACTAAGGTGTTTGCTGACTTTATTGGCGAATATTCTAAACTTGATTGAAACGGCATTTCCCACTAATTAGGGGAACACTATCTTATCATGACGTTCACGGGATTTTGAATTCACATGTTTTCAGGGGTCAAACTTACCGTACGTTTTTTTTTTCTATTTCTTTCAATGCTCAATTTGCTTTCGTTTCTAGCTTGCTCGCATATAAACGCACACACACATGCCTACGCACGTTGATATGCTGCTAGGTTTGTGTGTATGTAAATGTCGAATGCTTGTGTCAATTTTCCTAGTGATGTAATAGATTTTTTTTTTTAGGTGCGGCTTCTTTTTCCGCCTTCGTTCGCTCTGCCATATTCCACTTTTCCATGCTCTTCTTTATTATTATTTTTTATTTAAGTTTGCCAACGAGGTCAG